GACGACAGGAAGTTCTGTTACCATGCAATTAATCGTACCTTTAACAAAATTTGTGACATATAAAGCTCTTTTTTAATCAAAACACAAGAATTTCCAATAGTTTTCATTTACATTTAAGCGCTCGCGTGATGGCGCGTACTGTTCAATGAGTTAGTCGTGACGCGTACTGTCCTATTAAGGCTGAAATGATATCAGAGCAGTTGATAGCCAATCAGATTTGAGAATTCTTTTTTATAGCTTTGATTATAACTGTAAATTACATGTTTCTATATTTTTATTTAATAAATATAAATATAAGCACGCAACAAATTGCAATACTTGGATACCTGCCATAAATAATACATCCTTTTTGTTTCTAAGGTACAAAAATTAAAGTCGAATTTGATGTTCCTTTTGCGTCACGTCCTGTATCGTCAAGGTGGACTCTTGAGCCCTAGAGCGTTGAGATGCATTTTATTTTAATAACGTACATCAGTGGTACTTCACATACTAAAATTTCAAGGAGGACATATCAAATTTGCTGCATAAAAGTAGGCAAAAGGTTCAGTTCTGCCAGTCCCAGCTAGTCAGTTGAGAACTGGTACCCATTTTAACCAAACCATGAACTCCCAAAAAGAAACTGCTCCATTTCCGTCTTTATCGATCTCCGCAAACGCCTTCTCCATGTTTATACTTTCATAGCCAAAGAACTTCATCATCTTTTCGAACTGGACTCGGTCAAGGGTGTCGCTGTTGTCTGTGTCAAAACTTTTGAAGTAATTAAGTGCTTCCGAGAGGGAGTGATACTTGCCTTTGTCGTTCAAAATTTCGAAGCGTTCCCCGCTGCGAAGCCAGTCTTGGAATTCTTCAAAGGAGATATTATGATCCCCATTTTTGTCCAACAGTAGAAAATAGGCCCAGGATTGTTCCTGACTGAAGCCTAGGTCTCCCTCCAGAAGGAACTGCATTTCCTGTTCTTCAAGCTTCCCATTGCTGTTCGCATCGTACTTGTCAAAGAGACTACGAATGGCGACTTTCGGAGCTTTCTTGTCGAAAAAGCTGACTCCTGTTTGCATGTTTTTGGATATCGGTCTCTTCAAAGTATATCGAAATGCTATCGTATATCGGCTTTGGGTATAATTGTGGCAAATGTGAATTCTTGGTCTATTATATACCCTTAGCCGGGTTACTTGATGATTTAATCTTAAAATAGAATCACGCACGGGGTGATCTTGGCAAAAAAAGATATAAATAGATTTTATTTCGTAAATTGTAATTTGCAATTACAAATCGCTTGAGTTCAATCACACAGCATTGCTAAGACGTGCCTCCCTGCATTAAATCTGTCAAATTTAGAATTCTCCGAACTGAGTTGGTTCACAGTGCGTGCTTCAACGTTACTATATCTTTCCGTGTTTTTTACCCACAAAATTAAAGCCAAAAATGCAAGATTATTATCAGGTTATATTTCAGCCCGAAATTCAGCCATCTCCTCGAAAGGAGCGAGCGACTCAGTGGAAAAAAATTCCGAGTTCTCCGAACAATAAAATAATATCATTGCACCCTTTGAGGAAAGGTTATTCTTTCTGGCATGTCTTAAGCACTTCAACGTGTTAATACGAAGTCGTCCGTGTCACGATTAAGTTAGTCACGTGCTTTCTGACAAGCCACACGACGTCTTTCAGCTATAACAGGAGCCCATCAATTAATGATGGGCTCCTAGCAATAAAATGCCATGCCAGAAAGAACCCTCTGCTCGCAAGGTAATTTGATTGAGGTTCTAAACAAGCCTACGCCCTTAATTTATGCACTGCTTTTTTTTTGGGGGGGGTTGGGGTAGGCTCAGTGTCATGCCACGTCTGCAAAAACAAAGTTCTTTGCCTGTTTGTTCCGGCTTGTTCTCGGTTATTGCTGTGATCAGTTGGGTGAAGCTCATCCTGGGGACATACGTGCCCTCTCTCCCTCCCCCTAAGAATTCCCTCTCTAAACGGACACCGTTGGGACTGGAACAAAGTGTACGAGTGATGTCAGTCTTCGGCCTTCGGAAAGGCCATAACTGCCAACTTAAAGTTTCCGTTTTACCGAGTTGTCCTCTTATTGAGGTGTCGTTTTATAAGATAGCCTGCAAGCAGACCCTTATTTTTCTCCGGCAAAGTTACTGTACGCGAAACGTAAGCAAGCGAGCGGCGAGCATCGAAGCCGCTAACCACGTGGTTTGCAATCGCGCTGGATGAGATAAGACCTAGACGAATTTAAGGTGATTTCTTAGTAAAAGAACCTAACATAGATTGTAGATGAAACTTGGTACACTGATGTAACAAGTCAAGAAGATGATAGGGGGGTACTTCCTCCTAAGAGGATAATGGGGATGTGCCGCTGGATGGGGTCACATTTTCACGACTGGTTTGACTATAATGGGGTCGCATTTTCAGTAGAGTTACTGGAACGGGGTCGCACATTTTCTGATTTTGGGGCAATTCTTTTGGGACAATTCTTTAGCAAACGTACCAGAATGTTTGTACTGTATGTGAAAAGTAAAGTGTTCTTCATTCAGTATAAGGTAGATACATGAACAGAAAGTGCCTAAGTTAGGATGGCGAAAATTACATGTTTGCCCAAAAGTAACTAAGATGGGGTCTATAATTGGCCACAGAATAGACTATAACGGGGCAGGGGCTCTGAGAGGCCAGCGGCACATACCTAGCAAAAATTAACAAAAGTAACCCCCGCCCGGGTATCTTCATTCCTTTCTCCCGTCTGCCTCCGTTCAACGAGGCAAAACACGTGCGCGTTCGTGGTACACAACACTTGCGTTGTACAGGTACATGACACCTCTGAAGGCCCCAAAGATGAACTTTGTTTCCGGAAATTCTTTGTGGGTGTGGAGCGTCTATTCATCCTCTTAGCAGATGGGGCATGGCGTATTATTTACGCTTGTCCTTGTTTTCGGGACGTCGCGACCATTTGTAAACAAATACGTAAGCGAGCGCAAACATAGGAAGAAACACAACGTCATGTATGAATCACAATGTGGTTGGGGGCCAATACATTGGTGGAGACTGTTGAAAAGAAACCGCTCCGGTTATACCCTGGGTAACGAGGTTTTTACTCGCGTGCGACGAGGAGCTTTCGTCGGGTGTCGGCCGCACGCCGACATGTCTTCGGCCGAAACCGGAAACCGCGCATGAAAAGTCTCTGGCACCCAGGGTACTCCGGCTAGTACTTTCGCATGGATTATATTTACCACGCAAAATTGAGCGTTTGTTAAATTTAAATTTCGGGTACAGATGTAATTCTTACAGGATGCGGTCCATTACATTACCCCTGCGCGCGACGAGTATGGTTGGATTCTTCTTGTGGTTTGTTTCTAAGCTGTTTGAAGTTCTTAAATATTTTATTCATGGCCTAGCCCGCTCAGGTTTTTAAACTCCTGTTATAAACAGACTTCTTTATATACAAGTGAAACCACAAAACGTTTTCTTCTCTTAACATTAATGAATTCATCCCTCAATTCAATCCAATTCAATCCAATGTAATGTCTATTGCCCCTATGAACAGCCTAAGTGACAGGTGTCAGACCCTTTTTGCTTCTCTTTTCTCCTTGCCCCCCAATAAAAACGCCAGATATTTAGCCACCATAGGATTATATGACGGAGAAAATAATAACAATAATACTGTAACTGTAAAATACAAAGAAAATTCTAAATATATAGCGGCTAAGTTTAATGCCAGATAGAGGATGTGGCAAACTTCCTACCCTGCGAGCAGAGGCCCTTCGATCTTCCTAGAAAAGCCATCGGGAAGAGGAAGGGTTTCCGACGTATCTAGGAAGATCAAAGGGCCTCTGCCCGCAGGGTACAAACTTCCTTGCAAAACAAAGGATCGAAATTATCAATAGAGGAAAAGAGTATTGTTTCGTTTGTGAGAAACACTCAAAGAAACACTGTAGTGTATTGTTTCTCGCCTGGAGAACAATATTGACATAATCTCAAACGCTCAGCACTTTTGGGCAATTTCTATCTTCCGCATTTCAGCTGTCATTTTTTTATGCTTACTCTTGCCGTTGTGCGTCAATGATTTTAGTCAAAGGTCATTTCATTCCTCTTCATGAAATTGATGGCCCCCTATGACGGCAGAACATGTTTGGCAAGCATCCATCTTTCCGTATATTTTAATCACCATGTTTATATTAATATCGCAACAGGCGGTGAAAATTCCCTCCTTTGAAGACCCTTTCGAATGAACAAGTATTTCAAATACTGGTAAATTATAAAACCTACAGACTTCTGTTCGAGGAGCAAACTTTCAGGGCTATTTGTTTCGAATTATATTAAAATTGAAGTCGGCCTTGCCTGCGAATACAGCCGTTTCTCCTCGCTCCTACATGGCGTAATTACAATATAAAACAAACAAAGATCACTTGTTGAGCTCAAATATCCCACTGTTGTTGGTAAATTTTAAAGGGCAAAGAAACGTGGTCTTGAAGCGCCACCAAGGCACGTTTCAATACATCAGGACATGACGTTGTGTTTGCCACACAAAATACGTCGTTGTCGTTAGAAACCGGAAGTATTTATCCCAATAAATACTAGTGTCTCTAGCAGTCAATAACACTCGACGAAATATACTCATTATAATTTTTAAGCTGTATTAATCATAATTTCTAGGGAGAACAATAAATACTCTTCTTTCCAAATGAATTATCTTATTTTTTGCGTTTTCATTTTTTTAAAAGTGCACCTGTTGGATTTAAAATACCTTGAAAGGGTCTTCCCCCTTTTAAATTACTTTTGGCCGCATTTCATTAACATTTGGCTAAAGTTCAAGGTCACGTTTGTCGGAGTTTTCATGTTAATTTCCATTGCGGCCTTAATTAACCTTTTCCCAGGAAATGCAAACGTGACACAAGAAATGATGACGATTTAGGGTATAAAAGGAACGCGAGTCCCCCTTCTTTGTTTATTTCCCAAAACAAAGTCAAAGAACACACACTGAGGAGATTTTAACAGATTTAACTTGACATGGCAGGTAGCGGTGTGAGTTTTTTCAACAGAAGCGTTCCATCAATCGCTATTCACAGCCTTTTTGACAAATACGACACAAAAAGAAATGGAAAACTTGGCGAGAACGAAATGAAATCTTTTCTTGAAGAAGCATTGGGCCTTGACTTTGAGCAGGCTCAAATATACTTCTTTCTCGTCGACAAAGATGGAGACCAGGGGATCTCTTACAGTGAATTCAAAGAATGGCTGAGAAGCGAGGAAAAATTCCAGCGATTAAACGACAGTTCCAAATTCGACCGACTCTGCACGGCTTTCGAGCATTTTAAAGATTTCGATACCGACAACACAGGAACTTTGGATAGAATGCAGTTCGAGTCGCTTATGAAATTTCTGGGATATCCAGCAAAAGACATGGATAAAGTTTTCGCAGCTATGGACAGGCTCAATGATGGCAAAATTTCTTTTTGGGAATTCATGATATGGCTGGACTGGTCTCCAATTGCTTAATGAAGACTACATGAACAAACTCCTCTCTGTACGACACAGGAGACTGTAGAAGAGAAACTCTCTTTACAGGACAGATGCAAGCTGACCATACTATTTTTTGGTCGTTTTCTCAGAAACTGAACAACATCTGATATGATATAAAATCTTGAAGTTATTCACGAGCAATGACTGAGAGATTAAATATAACGACATCAATCTTAACAATATACAAAAAGAAAAGAGATAAAGATATATATTATACCGCTCTACCCCGAAATTTTACCAAGCGCTTTGTTTTCAAATTGTAAGGCAAAGGTGTATATTTATTTATATTTATCTGTGATGTAGAGGGAAAATTTTGATGTATTATATAATATTTATTACATATATATTTCAGTGAACTTTGCTTCGTCGCACGCAAAATAAATTGACGTTTACGATTTTTCATGTGACTAATTATTTCGTAATTAATTTAATGTTACGGTCCACTTCAGTCTTTGAAGGACTGTATAGTTAATTTTACGTCAACATGTGTCATCTCTCCACTCTTTATCAATGACCATTTATAATAATGTCGAACTACGAAAACAAACCAGAATTAATTTCTCTGGAATGCTGTAGCCACGGGAGAGAAAAACAATCAAAGGTGGGATAAATAAACCGCAATGAGAAAACGGTAGTTTGCGGTTCTTTCTAGAGATTATGCAATATGACACGTGCGAACTAGAAGGGCGGAAACTTTAATGAGTAATACACAAGGCATTATGGGAAGAAGCCGGGTTCTAAGACTAAGGACTTCTGGGTAAAATCTCCAAATTTGGCACTCTTACATCGTCTTAGTCTATGGGCGCTTGCCATTTAGTCAAAATTTCCGAAATTTCCGGTTCGGCGGTAAATGGAACACGTTTCGTTGGTTCGTCCCACTGGAAAATTCCCAGAAAAAGTGCAAAATCTAAAAAGGTGGTCCCGTTTTCCCGGTTGGAATTTCCGAACGGAATGTCGTGTTCCGTTTACGTTTCTCGTAGTTTGTACCAGTTCCAGGTCGGGCACCGCCACGTAACGGGGTTTACGACCAAATGGAACAACTTTTTACCAATCGGAAATTCCACTTTTGCTACCACCGAAATTTCCGGGGTTTTTTCCTAAATGGAAAGCGCCCTATGTTTACACTACACTGGATAGGGCATCTATGATTCACACTGAAGAACGGTTGTGGCGGCGCGATTTCTATGACGGAGCCAAACGGTCGATTAAGTAACATCGACTGACGGTTTTCACACTACGGATAGAGTAGTAACAGAGTATGTGTTTCATACTCGCCTACGGGTTTAGAAAAAACGGTCGATAGATCCTCTCTTGCCCCTCTGCGTTTTAACGACGAGTGCGTGGAGCTATTGTGTTCGAGATTGCCCGCTTTTCTGCGTACTACTGCACCAGAGACGTAGTGACTTCATAAAATCTCACGATTTATGATGTTGTCGAAGGGATGTTTGTATTATAAGGACAGGTTTGGATCACAAACTGTGTGAACAGAAAGAAAGATAGAAATTACACAACTCTAGAACTAGAAAACACCTACATGATTACATAAACAAAAAGGTGACGATCGATAAACATAGTCATTACGAGATGAATTGACAGCTAAAAAAGAGAAGGCTAATTGGGTTACATTTGCTCACTTGGGCCAATGAAAACCATGGTCAGAAAAGACTTGTAGTATATCTACCAATTCTGAGAAGGCTTAAAATATCCGCCACGCAGACCATACAGCTCGAAAACGCTTAAAGGAGCTGCATCACAAATTTTATTAATTTTCTAACAGTAGGAACTGTCACCAAATTAAATGAAACATATGAAATAATCGCTCCAAATATAAATTTAAAAAAGGCCTATAAAACAGTGTTATAAATAACAGAGCAAATATAAAAGAAGGCATGGATGGGCAAATTTCAAGAGGACTACAACGGATTGAACTTGTGGGTTTTTCTGTAAAGACTCGTTAACCTAACAGTGGTCTAAAGTTCATTTTGTTGTTTGTAAGGTTCCTCCTGGTTCGATATAATGCTTGGGAAGTAAATTGGCATTATTAACCCTATAAAACCCTGATGTCAAAATTTAAATTCTCATTTGTTGTCTCTATACATTCCTATAGAAGAAGTGGGGAGACGTTGTTAGAGTATCAATTAACTTCACCTTTTTTGATCAATCCCTTACTTCTTGTTACCATCATGTTTTATGGAGCAAAGATGTTACAAGGAGAAAATTGATGCTGATCACACTTAGGGCTTAAAGGGTTAACATTATGAACAAGACGCCGTGACAAGGCAGCCCCTTTAAAGGGGCTGTGTCACGGCAGTCCAGTTCATTTTGTTTAATTTTGCCAATTACTCGCCCTCAATCGCTATGGAACTTAAAGTAACCAAAGAAATTACATGTAAATTACAAAATCAGAGATCCGAGACAAACAAATATGTCTCCTGAGCATTATTTTTGAAGTTGCAAGGCGAGAACTGTTAGGCTGAACAGTTTTCAAAAACCCTAATTTCAATCCGTTTCAATCTTCTTCAGTTTTGCCCATATATTGGTATATTTAGTGGTATATTTAAGTTTTAAGTTTTAAGCGTTTACTTTTATGTTTCTCCAGAAGCTGGTTTCTCTTAATTTAACGGGCATTTTGTAATTTCCTAATTTGGCTGAATTTCGTGACACAGTTCCTTTAAAGTAAACCCTTTACTTGCCAATAGTGACAAAAACCAATTTTCTCCTAACAATATCCATAGAATCCATAGATTGTCAAGAGACGAGGTAATGAGAGTTAATTAAATGATCACCAAAGTGAAAATGCCATGATATTTTATTAAATTCTCTCAACTCATTCTTTAAGGAAATATATAGAGATCGGTTTGGAGAATTTGTACGTGGATATTGGGACTTAACGGGTTAAAAAACATGTGCGGCCTCATCAAAACTTCGAAACGACCCTTATTATAAAAACAGTGCATTTAAATATTACGGTGGCCCACAACTGTCACGGCAAAACCAAAAACCTCACGGCAAAAACAAAATACCTCACTGCAAAACCAAAAACCTCACGGAAAAAACAAAAACCTCACGGCAAAACCAAAAACCTCACGGCAAAACCAAAAACCTCACGGTAAAAACAAAATACCTCACGGCAAAACCGAAAACCTCACGGAAAAAACAAAAACCTCACGGCAAAAACAAAAGACAGTGACAGTTGTGGGCCACCATAAAATACAGTCGACTCCCGATAACTCGAACCTTCAAGGGAAATCGAGAAAAGTTCGAGTTATCTGGTGTTCGAGTTATCGCGAGTTTGAAGAAAATAACCGGAAGTAAGGAAATAAGCAAATGGATGGGGGGAAAGGCAATTGAGCAACAAAGTACACGGGAATGGACACTGAATTTGAACTGGAGTGACAAAAAAGTAAAGACAAAGAATTTACTCGGTTGTTTTGAAATAAATTCAATGTTTCGGACTTCAGTACACGGTTTTTTCCCCGAGTTGTCATGCGCTTAAAACATGGTTCGAGTTGTTGGGGGTAAAATTGTATAGAAATGAACTAAAGGGAAACAAAAATTACTTCGAGTTAGCGGAAGGTTCGAGTTATCGAGGGTAAAATTACAGTAACTGTAAGAAGGAAAACCAGGGGAAATCGACTTTGGTTCGAGTTAGCATGAGGTTCGAGTTGTTGGGAGTTGACCAACTGTAATCACTATTTTAGCTCTTCGGAGACAATGCATGCTGCATACAGGACAAAGTGGCCAAGAGAAAACGAATTAGTCAAATTATTTGCTTAGTCATGGCTCATCCTTGTCCTTCCCCGTAAATTTTGGCACGTCCCTCTAATCTGAAGGCTGAGACAGGCTAGAACGATCTTAAAAATTTCGGAAATTTACCGGTTTGTTTTGCGTTTGTTCTTTTGTCAGTCCCAAGTGCTTGTTGACTAAAAACACCGCCTTTCTTTTCTCAAGATTCACTTAAACGGAAAATACCATTGACACGGAGAAAAATGGCATATTTTGACGTAAACAATACAAGGTAATTTGCGCATCAAACTTCGTTTTCGCAAATTCATGACGACGTTTTCTCTCCCGCTATTTGTACAACAGGTGTAAAATAAACAAACACTCAATGGCAGAAACTTCCTTCTTTTTATCACCCACGTAGTAAAGAAATATGAAAAGCGAATTTGGAAACCAAAGTTATGGATATATAGACGCCTGGATTGTTGCGATCCAGACTCAAAGGGACGGCGATCGAGCGTGTCTTGACGTCAATAGGCAGCCTATTACTGCTACTTTACTAGAAAGCCATTAATATAAACCATCTGCTTTCGATTTAAGCGTTATAAAAGACAAGCGAACAAACAACCCATCAATTCGTTTACATTTACGTTTTCCTCATTTCAGCGAATAAGTCACTCTCACGATGCAAGCTGGAACAAGTTTCTTCGACAACAACACCCCCCAAGTGGTTATTCGAAGCCTTTTCGACAAGTACGATAAAAGCGGAACCGGTACGCTAGACGCGCAAGAATTGAATGAACTTCTGCAGAAAGATTTAGGCTTCAAGAAAGAACAAGCCAATGTTTACTCCATGCTGCTGGACAAAGACGGCGACCAGAACATATCATTCGAGGAATTTCTCGCCTGGCTGCGAAGTGGGGAACGTTTTACGATGATCAACGATCAAATACAATTCAAGACTCTTTGCAAAGCAGTGGAATTATTCAAAACGTACGACAAAGATAACAGCAATGGCTTGAACCAGGAAGAACTGAAACATTTACTCGTTTCTCTTGGGTACCACGACGTTGATGCACAGAAGTTCTTTGAATACCTCGACCAGCACAAAAATGGGAAGATTTCGTTCTGGGAGCTACTAAAGTGGCTGAATTGGGTACCGATGGAGTGATGAGCGAATGCAACCAATCAAGCGCTCATTTTTCTAGTTTAATACAGGAACTTTTGGCTCTATTCGTGTCAGCTGCTTCAGTACCGAAATGAGTATAGAGTAAACTTAAAACGAAACACCATTTTTCTCGAAGAAGATTGAACATTAGTTGCTGCGTGACAGGGGGTCTCGTGTGTGGCCCTTCAATGCTATAATTTGCTATAGGCATCTTTTTAACTAATAATGACTTAAAATAGAGCTTAAATTTTGTTATATCGTTCCGTCTTTTCTGTGAATTAACGGAAGCGTAGCATTTTACAAAGAACAGGACCTTGCAGCAAGGTCAAAGCTACCCAGCAAGTGCAATCCGTGATTTATTTATTATTTTGCTCACACTATGAGCAGCGTGATGTTAATACCGGCTAATGTAGTTTATAATGAAGCAGGTTTCAGTTGCGATCATGATATTGCTTCGCTGTTTCGTTTCACTGTAAATATAGAACCGAAGTGCGAAATCTCACAGATGACGGGTAAAACAATCTCAGAAGTTTACGAGTGTTCTGTAAAATAAGAGTTAGACAACACTGAAAATGCATCGAAATACAGAACTTCGAATACCAATCGGCTTTCTGCAAGCGAGATGTGCTTTTCGATTAAAATTAAGTAAAATAACATCCTTCTTATTCATTTGAGCTGAAACTTCACGAAAAAGCACCGACGAAAACACAAATAGCAGGTGGACGGATGCAGGGCGAGAACACGAAAACAACATAATTATAGTTAAAGTTATTCAAAATTTCTGTATAAATTAACTTGAAGTCAGAACTTAGATCAAATAGTTTGTAGACTGTTCTGTTAGCATGGGAGGTCAAATTTAATAAAAAAATGTGAAGTCAAAGTTTAAAAAATAAATTGTGCGATGACGAGTTTCGCTTACACACGAGATGCTAAATCTCCACAATCTCTCGTTCAATCTGCTCAGCGATTTTTGCTTGAACGCTATCACAGATATGAATCTACTGAAAGGACTACGACGGTGTTTTTTGTCTACGATAAAGATAAAGAGTTGATTTAGATAAATTGTGTTAGTTGGCCCTTTCACACCATTTAGGAAAAAACTACTCAGTAGTAGCTTTCAACTAGGATGCTGTTTATCATGCTGTACAAGAAAGTTCTAACTTTTGAATCTGTAAATGAAATCCTAAAGTGTGACCATTCAAATGAAAGCTTCTGAGCAGTACTTTCCTGTGTTGCTGTGTATTGTACCGTGAAAGGCGGTTCTAACCTTTGAGTTTATCCCGGATGAAATCCATTTAAATGAAAGCTTCTGAGCTGCATTTTCATGTGATGCTGTTTATTAGGCTGTAAAAGGTGGTGAACATTCAGATGAAAGCTATTTTAGTGCTATGTCCAGTGGTACTGTTCAGGTGGTCGAAGACAAAATCACGTGGTGTAACCACTATAAAATGGAAAGACTCAGTGAACTCCATTAGCAGTAGTTTTAAGAGAGGCCTGCGACACAGACGAAACTTAACTCTGATTACTGAATTCGTGAGGTTACCTAATCTTGTTAGTGAATAATATCCACTCACTTTCGTGATCAATAACTAGGAAAGACACATGAAAAAATACTGAACCTCAAACAGGAGAGCCGTAAAATTTTACGAGCTTTACTCTAATCCAAGGGCGATATTATTAATCATAAACGAAATAATGATTTTCAACTGATCTCCTCACTCCATCGAGTAAGTATGACGATGCAGACTTTGATAATGAAATGGTAGGGCCTTTTGCTATCAGTTTCATACAAATATATATAATAGGCCATTTATAAAAATATTGATCATAAATAATAAATATATTAAAGGGATATTGCCCAAGTCGCTTGTTTGCTAATCCCATCATATTCATCATCCGACACTTCTCAAGATGATTTTTTTTGTTTCAGAGTTGTCTAGACTCAGTGACGAGAGTTGTTCGCTATTTCGATGTAAGAATTGTTCGCCAGAATTTATCTTTCGGTCATTAATATTGAGCTACATTTCTTTTACTCTTGCACTCAACCATTTAAAATTTTAATTAGAAAGGCAACAAAAAGAAAAAAACATTGAAAAAGCACTAATATTACATATACAATCATTGCACCAGTAGGGCTATATCTACAGTTTGTTTTTATTTGGATCATCGCACTACCATGGCAACATCATTGAATCAATATTGCTTCCAACAATAATGTTCACGCCATTTTAATATTTTACTGGTTACAGAACCGCTCAAATTTACACTGGGTTCACAGCCTCACTATACGGATTCCATATCATGGTTTGTTTTTTCATTTTGTCTTTGTATTTTCATAATTCTGATAATGAAGCTAGATTTGCATGAGAATTGCGAGTCTGATAATCATAATACTGTGAGCATGAAACTAAACAGAAGTTTAGCTAGAATAAGGGACATTTTTAACATCAACTAAAGCTTATAATCAGAGACCACTCTCAATTATCCTTCAACAAGACACTCGTAAGAAAGGTATCTCCTTAATTCTTACTTGAGTCTCACGTTTTAAAACTAAACGCAGGATCGCAGCCAGACTATTGACACAGACGAGGCAAGATGTACAGTCGCCCAAAGCGCGAGGCCTGTGTACAGCTGTCTCTTTCCTCAAACAAAATCGGAAAGAGTCTCTCTCCGTGATTTTGTTTCAGGATAGGGGGCTGCTGTATACAGGCTAAAGGCGCGAGCTGCTAAGGGTATCTGAGGGCATACGCCCTAGAAAATTATGAAGCCTAGTCGCGGCTAGCGCGTCGTAATGCCTCTTGCTACCTTAAGTCTACCCCTATCAAACTTAAGCCTGAAGTTTAAGACTGACGTGAATGAACGCTTTTTGGTGAAAAATAAAAATATTATCTTTCTATTAGTGTTATAACAATTAAAAATAAATTTCCTTTACCGACAAGGAACACGAAATAATACCTGCATTTTCATTTCCACATTTTTGACATTTATATGTATCTTAGGGCAGAATAGTGACACACCAAGGGCTGGTTATTATGAAAGTGGAGATTAGCCAGTCAATGTTTTTTTTTCATATAAAGATACGTCACTAAAAGTAATCGCTGTGGCGACCTCTACTACGGTGGTCGTGGATGCGGGGTCCTGGGAAGAGTACGTCACCGTAACCCGCCAAATTTCAACTTAAAGCAGGCGGCGCCCAAACAGTGACTACGGGCGTTTCTCGCTCATTTGCTTTTGCTGTTAGTAAAACGTAGGGAAGACGTAATTACTGGAAAAACAGAGGCGTGAAATACATGAAAGCGCTTGGGCATTTACAATTACCAAATCAACGCCTCATAAAAGGCAACACAATGTAATTTCACTCATGAATAGATTCCGTCTAGATTAGCAGCTCATATACCGTACATCCCCCGAGTATTAACCCCGAAGCTAAAGTCAGGTTTTGTTTCAAACAAGAGAGATCATTCTCTCTTGTTTCAAATCAATAACCAGCCCTTACAGTAATTGCCACTTAGGAAACAAGAGGGGAGCTGGAGCCGAAATTCGTCCCGCGGTTGTTTCTGGGATTGTTACTGGGGACGTGGCGGTCGACTATTGGCCAATTTTTTCCCTATCCAAAGTAACAGTCCCACAAATCGCCCCAGTTTCCTTTTCACGTCTAAAGAGGCAAATAGTCCAGTTTCGAATTAAACATTACCGCTGAATACAAACATTAACGACACATTCATACAGGGCTAGCCTCGACATAAAGTAAAATATTCAAAAATTCTGGCAAGTAAGCGTTTAAAATTTGGATATACACAATAGACAGAGTAATAAACAGGTCTTCTTCTCGTAGGAATTTGTGAATATATTACTTCAGATGGAGGCTAAGCCTGTAAAAAATGCGTCTTCACTTCTTTAATTCAGCGGTTATAGCGAACTCGAAACTGGACTACTACCATTGATTATCAGTTTTCTGGAACAGAACAATACATAAAAAATAATCCAATGCGAGTTTTGTTTAACTTTCACGATGAATCAAACTTCATCATCCAAGGATACATCATAAATTGATTTTTTGCTTATTAATGTTTCTTTTGCTCTCCCTTCATCCACAACAGAAGAATCTTCAAGATGATCCTTTAATGGACATTGAAGCATGACTGGTCTGTGGAAAAAATAAATTAACAGTCTCAACATTGGTCTCTATACTTATAGGGCATCGGGCACGAACCCCTCGTACTTGAACAGATAGTTTACTTGCAAGCGACGATGGGCCAACGAATTGGTTGCAACATTTTGTCCTCATCAACCTTTCTTAAGTTTTTTTAAACACTATCTAGTTCAAAAGGGAGGAAGCAAGTCTTCCCATCACCACCCCACCCCACCCCACCAAAAACCAAATTTGAGCCACTGCTCCAGGTACCTCTTGGAAACAACAAAACATGTTTTGGTTGAGGGTGGGTGGAAGGGGACCAGATTGTTTTGTTTTTCAAGCTTTACCCTGTTTGACAACAGTACATCTGTATGATCTCGACAAATATATGACTCATTGCATGTGTTAAGATGCAGCTTACAAAGGGATTCTACACACCTGTATGATGGCTATGATGACGCCAAATAACCCAATGGCACTACCAAAGATCTCAATGATCAAAACCTTCAACCGATACAAAACAAGTCTTTTAGCCAATGTCCAATATCCATTGTTTATTAAATGGGGGATATTATATGGCCGCAAAGGGATATGAAATTTCTCTTTGAGTGTTGAAAAATACCGTAAAATTCCGAAAATAAGCCCCGGGGATTATATTTTTCAAAGGCCCTTTTTGAGGGGATTATTTTTGGAGGGGCTTATATTCGGAGGTAAATTTGCGTTTCAGAATCGATTGGGCCAGCTTGTAAAGGGGAGGAAACTTACCATTTTTGCTTTGTTTTTCTTTGTATTCGACAGCAAATTCCAAGTACAAGCCCCCCCGGGGGATTATATTCGGAGGGGCGATTTAACAGAGGGTTTTTTGCGTTATGATTTTGGGGGGCTTATATTTGGAGGGGCTTATACATGTTAGGGCTTATTTTGGGAATTTTACGGTATTTTTGTGAATGAGTTCAACAAGGTAGTGAAATTTTTTAACAGAAAACACCAATAAAATACCGAACAATTTCACCTAAATATATTTTTAGTGTAAAAGGCACAATTTATCATGTTAGCATAGCAATAGTGATTTTTTCTATGTGAAGATGCAGTACATGTACATCTCTTTGCATGAAAGGTCACCTGATATTTCATGATGGGTGTTCATGTAACGAGATAACAAAGTAGCAGTCAACATCTGCTAACAGCAATGCACTGTTACCCTGACATTACAGAGCATTTTCACTCAAATGGCCACTAGCTATGCAAATTTATTGGAACAAAAGAAAGCTTTTATACAGGAAAAAGGTTAACCTCCCATGAGAAGGACTCGTTTGGAACACCAACATGGCTGCTGTTTCATTGTTTAGGAACACGAATATGGCTGAACATGACATTATGAGAAAATGTTTCATAGATTTTGCGAGCTTGCTCACTGAAAGACTTTTGCAATGATATGACTACACTGGTTTGGTAGACATCACACAGACACAAACATTATACTTCTATGTGCGTCCACCTCCCTAAAACATCAAAACTTTCTCCATCAAAGCCTATTAGATCCGAAAGTAAACGACCACCACTGGTAAGCGACAGTGACCACATTTTGGCCTGACAGTTTTATTATTATATTACTTTTAAGGGGGGTTCACCTGAATACAGTCTGTATACACCCTTGGCAAATGGCAAGGTGACCATTATATACAGGTCAACTTTGCAGAAAATATTAGGCAACTGAAAATTTTGGGAAGTTGTCCGGTGCCTGAATATACAGGGCAACCGCTATATACAAGGCCGTTATATACAGGTTTGACTGTATGACAAAGTAAAATGTAACAAAATTAATGATGGCCTAGGAGGATGATGAATTTTGAGAACTGACTGGTTGGAGCATTGGCAGAGTAACTGTGCACGACACTAAAAAATGATTACCTTAACAAATAAGGATGAATTCTGAGCATCTGCAAGTGCAGCACCACTGAAATCAAAGAGAATAAGAACAAGCTTTTTAATGGAGTTATCTAACTGATATTGACATTCATCTGACATCACAAGAAAAGAAAATTACACACAGCTGTAACTAGGTCAAATGAAAATGTAATCACGATTCAAGACAAGTCAAGAGTGATGTGTTATAAGATTTAACTACTGAGTTGACCCTACAAACTACTACTGTAATTTTTTTTCTGTAAAATACTATAATCTTTTTAAAGTCCCCTGATAAGGTGATGCTTTTAATATAGTGCACTGAGAATCGCTATGTTTGGCTTTCCCAGCTTCTCTCTGTTAGTTTCTCTAAAACAGCAGGTAACGCATCCCTCTTAGGCAATTTCTCAGAAAAATATACTGGCAAAAAATGTCCATCATTATGCTACAAACAGCACTTTTGTTATGCCCTAAAGGCTTCTGTAAGTACACTGAAAACTATTAACCAATGCAGCTTGTTTACATTCTGAGCACAGCATAATCAAGACACTGTAAGACAGTGCAACCCCGCCTTACGACCACCCTGTTAATACGACCACCTTGTTATCATGATCACAATTTTTTGACCCACAAGAGAAATACTGGTCATTTTTTTTGAAGATTAGGGTTGTCATTAAGAGCTGGGGGGGACATGTCCCCTGGCTTCTTTCATAGGAAAAGAGAATAAAAATGAAACCACAAGAAATCCGTAACTGTTTGCTTCCCCACCTACTTTGTATTTACCCGGCAACTTGAAATCTTAGTGACAGTCCTGGAAGATCCCTTTAGTATGACCATCTCGTTATTATGACCATGATTTTATGGCCTAACAGTGGTCGCATTAATGGGGTTTCACTGTACCTTCCAACAATTCCAACACAAACTCCACAGAAGAGATTGGAAAATCCAACTGTCAAACCAGCTCCAAACAACATAAATCCTAATGAGGTAAAGTATACATCGCCTAGCATCAGTTATTTTAAGCTAAAAGTAACACTTCGAACCTGAAAAATAATACTACTGTTACATTCAGTTGGAAAAAAATAGATAGACTAGTGAACTACATAGATTGAGCCACACCAAAGTAATACAACCAGGAAAAAGAGAATTGCCTTTGGTGAATTTACTATTTATTGTCCACGTGAATTGAAGCACCCAAGTCAAGGGTGAACCATTTTGATATTACTGCAGTTTTCAAAAACACATGAATTCTGAAGTTCAAAAGCCAACTGACATTTACATTTTTCGCTGCCGCCAGTCATCTGAGTGGACCTCTTAGGAAACAAGAGTTTACTTCAACAGGCTCAAAAGGTCATGGTTTGTGAATTGTGGATTTCGAACCGTTTTGTCTGTTTCTCTGTTTTGAGATTTGTTGCTTGTCATCGTAATTATTATTGACGACAACAAAAAATGCATTTGTGAAGGCGGATTTTGAACTCCAGAGTGAAAAAGCACAGTAAAGGAAACCAAGGCTTTCTTATTTTCTCAGTGGAACACAAAATATATTGTCCAATAATGTATTGTACATTATAGTTGTATTCTTGAAGGTCAGTGATTGTAAAAAAGTGGACCTGAATGTTCAGAAACTACCAAAGTTGGAGAAACACAATTTTTTAGCAGATACTAGTGAGGTTCCTGCAGGTGTCTGCTTAATAGATAATTATTTTAATGTAATATTACATGTGGCTGCAACATAAAGACACTATAAAAAAAGAGGTTATGTTGACACTAATGGAGATTTTTTTTGGACTTGAGAAGAACCTAGAGCATTTCTGAATTATTTATTTTTTACCATTTAAATGATAATGCTTAATGCAAAATAAACAAAATGCTTTTTTGATACAGGCTGAACACTATACCCTAAAAAAGTAATAATGTTATTGCTGGTATTCTCATCAAGAAAGGGACAAATTAATGAGGAATCACAGACAGTTTGGAGGACAATCAAATAATGAGAAGTTTAGTGTAGCAAAACAAATATTCACCTGTTAACTTCATTCACTCAGGGTTCGCAAATACGCAAAATTTGCTGTATTTTATGCCAAAATTGTTCAGTTTACTCCACTGAGGTTACGGAAGGGGTCACTTTGACTCCAGAAATTTTCGGTAACAAACAGGGAGCCACTTTGACTCCAGAAATTTTCGGTAACAAACACAGTTTTGTCCTTACCTTTTTCACAACAAATGCAATTTATGTTATTGTAAACATTGTAAACCTTAATTAAATCATCGAAATTAAAGAATTATACTGCACGACAAAACAGGAAGAGGGTAAATTACGCTCAAACTTTACTCAGTGACCGGCATCATGGATTTGAGCTTTCCAGGTCAGCGGACCACCACAGGTACTAGGTGTATCCCCCACAATAGTGTATACGTGCCAGGACCACATGCTGGAAAGTCTGAAAATGGCTTTTTGCGTTCTGATACTTGACTCCAAATATTCCAAAATGACTCCAAAATTTGTGAAGCAGAAGTCACACTGACTCCACTCATCAATAAAATTTGCAAACCCTGTTCATTTTTTTCATGAACATTTCATGGTTTGGAGAAATGCAGTTAATACATAGACACTTCAAACTTTTTCAGAGTTGAAGGCAAGCTATTTTCAATTATATAAAGCTTCAGTGGTGACTAAAATAAACCTTATTTTACCTGAACTATGGACCTGTCTAATGTCCTTCATTTTTGTAAGTGAATCCACATCAACATTCTGTGATAAGCAAATGAATAAATTACATACTTATATTAACAAACAAAGAATGCCATATCAAGTACACAACCATTTTAACACTGATATATATTTTAATTTTTTAATTTAAACTTCATTGAGAAACATACCCAAAAACTGAAAAAGAAAAAAGAGATAAAAAATTAACTACAACATATTTAGTATACTTGATATTTTAGTTGCTTTTGAAATATGAAGATTAAAATAAAAATTAATGATAACATTTTACGTACATTGTAAAAAATGTAATGCTTGTAGTGGGAGAGGTACAGCGGAACCTCGATATATTAAAGGGACAAGGGACTGGCAAAATTTGTTCACTATAAAATGGTTTTGTTACATCGAGCTTCTTTTCAATGTATTTTACGGCTACTGGAGTAAAGAGAATCGTTCATTATACCAAGGACTTTGTTATATGGAGGTTCTACTCAACACATGTAGATGACAGAAAAGACACCAAGCGAGGCTTGTTTTTGCATCAGATTCCTCCCTTTGTTTCAATGCTAATAAAAAGTACTTCTAAAGGTGATTTTTCATTAGCTTACCGACATGTAGTTACTGAGAACAATAGACATGATAATGCCGTAAATGGCAACAGCTTCACAAAAGATTATACTGCAAATTTGAAAAAGCAAAGAAGAAATTAGATCCATTGTAATCATTTCAAGGGATAAACAGCTACTAGTTTTGCATAGCTATAACATTTACATTTTTATCCACAAATTTTAGTAGTAAAATGCAGCGTGAATATACATGTACATTTTGTGGTAAATACACACGAATTAATATCTTAATTCTTGTGACACAAAATACCGTTAAATTCTGAAAATAAGCCCGTCCATGTATAAGCCCCTCCAAATATAAGCCCCCCAAAGCGGTAACACAAAAAACCCTCCGTTAAATCGCCCCTCCAAACATAAGCCCCCCGGGGGCTTGTACTATTGGAAAATTGCCCTCCAATACAAAGTAAAACAAAGCAAAAACGGTAAATTTCCTTCCAACTATAAGGCTAGCCCAATCGATTTTGAAACGCAAATTTCCCTCCGTATATAAGCCCCTCCGAATATAAGCCCCTCCAAAAATAAGCCCCTCAAAAAGGGCCTTTGAAAAATATAAGCCCCGGGGCTTATTTTCGGAATTTTACGGTATAACAGCGTTCATATCACATTCAAGTTACCTGATTAGATTTTTGGTTTTAATTCTTGGTGCTTTCACACCACCTCCACAAATACTGGATCCTGTGATGAATATTCCCCTAAGGAGGAGAAACAATTTATCAATTAATGCATCCAGTAATAGTCTAACCTGAAAATGATCTCCATATGTTAAGCACCCAAACTAGGACAATCTCTGCATGAATCTTTTACTCAAAAGCAGAATTTATTGACGATGCAAGGCTGAGCTCTAGAAGTGCCGGGTGGCCCCCTATTCTAACTCATGAATAATTAGGGCTAGGAGACAAAGGAAAAATGAGAATCAACCTAGGTTAAAAAATTTTAACCTGAATTGAATTTTGATCTGTAACATGTACAAACGTGTATGGTTTGTCTGCAGTGTATTCGGGAAAATATTACTGGTAATAGTAAAAAGTGGTGGGCAAAACTGCATTAACACACTTTTCCAAAAAAGCAAACGTGAATTCTGAAGTTCAAAAGCCAACTAATGTTTGCATTTTTCGATACCGTCAATCATCTTAGCGGACCTCTTAAGAAAGGGAAGTTTACTTCTGTTAATGAATTCAAAGGTCATGGTTTGTGATATGTGATTGGTGGATTTTGACCCATTTTGTGGGTTTTTTTGTTTGAGGGTTTGATTGACGGAAGCAAAAAATGCAATCAACAAGGCAAATTTTAAAATTCAGCGTTTTGTGTGTTATTGAAAAGCACTGAAAATAATCAAGAACATCGTTATTGAACCCACCACGCAGCTCCAACTACAGACAGTGCTATAGCTAATCCTATTCCAAGAGAACCCCACATAAAAGGGGAGGTCTTCTCCAAAAACCTGAAAGATGGAAACAGAGCATCTTTAATTTTTCATTGCCTGTACCAGGGTGCAAGGAAAGACAGTTTTACAGCTTGTTCTTTGGGTTTTAGCACAGTTATAAGCCTGTACCACAGACAGAACTAAACTTCTGGTGAAATTCATCTGCGAAACAGTGAGGAAATCCTTGTTCTGCCTCCCCCTCCCTCCACCTGTGTACCAGGATTTGAGTATGTGCCATTATTGGCCTGTTAAAAAAGCTATTGTCAATTTGCCAATCAGGTTGAAGGGAATGTGAAACACATTTCCAGTAATTTTGTTGAGTCAGTTAGGGGCCCTGAACAAGGATATTGGCCCTGCTTCAACAATGTTACTAACTGGGGTTAGATCATGTCTGTGACGCAGGTGAAATAGCTATTTGGATATTCAACAGAAGTCTCTATAACTAATGATTCCTATTTGATGTGATCATAGCCTGAGAAAACAGCAGACATTTGGCAATGCTACCAACAGTTTCCTCCCCAAATGATGTTTGAGAAACAAGCACAGAAATTCCATACTGATGATGTGTCACTACCCAGATCTGGGGAGTGCTTCTGATTGGTTGAATCAAATTTCCCACACGGCACGACCAATCAGAAGCACTAATGAGACATGCCTGGAAATTCCAATATATATGTATGTATAAATGCTTAAACTGATTTTCATTTTTTTAAAAAATATTACATAAACACTCTTAAACTAGGCTTAATTGTTTATTCTGTGATTGAATATTTTTTAAGTAGGAGATCAAAGTTTACCAGAAGAAAAATGAATATGAAATGTAAATGAACAAAATACGTACCATCCTATGTCAAATCTTGTTCCAAGACCAGAGAGATTGTAATACAACCCTACAAATATTTTAAAACACACTCATAATAAAAACACCCAACGACGCCATATTGAATTATGAAGCAAACTCTCGCACCAACGAGAATGACAACTTACCGACACAAATAAGGATAAAAAGCGTCAGAGAATAAACTACGGAGTAGTAACCCAAGTTGCTGCTCGCTACGTAAGGCATGGCTGGCTTAAAAGCGTCAATTTATTCGTCAAAATTAACTCTGTTTTCTCATTTCGTTCCCCTTCGCTCATGTGACAAGAACGTCCAGATGCTTATAAGCTTTGCATCCTGGCCTGCGTTAGTTTCCAGTCTACGTGCGATTTCTGTTCGCTTTTTTTCATTCCTCTCTCCATTTTCTTGTCTTTTTTTATGTTTCGTTTTCTGTTACTAAGAGCGATGTTAAGAATCTATAGAGCCAGCAGTAGCTTAATTTGAAACATGGGGAGGAGAGTCTGCTACCTTTATTTCTCCCGATATCTACAACTGGCTTAAAGCAGTATTCTCGGATCGAGGAAGAATAACCGCCGGCACCGCCCAGCGCCGACTGCACACGTCTATTTGCCAGTAGATTTGCGAAAGAGTAGCTATGAAGACCACGCTCGGTTGTAATGTGGATCGGACAGCCAGGAGACATAGCCTTGAAGCACCAACTCACGTGAGACATATAAGGCAGTTGAAATGTAGAAAAACGCGGCACAAGAATTGGCTAGATCCACAGGCCAACCAATAATAACGGGGCCTCTGCAAGCAGGCAGTGCCGCCCTCTCAGCCCTACGATTCAGCTTATCGGTCAGGTGATCGTCCCTACATGGCCAATCTCAAACGCTGCATAGGTATCAATTTTTTCCCTCTTCACTTTTTTTTGCGCGTGGCGATGGAGGCCGACGATCAAGTGTCTAATAAGATATCACTCAACAGGCAAGACGTTGATATAACGTCGCAATATTTTGCTCCAAAAAACTCCTTGCTTCGATCGAGTCCTTACTTTTGTTATTAATTGTCTGTTTTTCTTCTGCCCTACTTAAACGTTTTGCCAGGACACCAAAAGTCCATGGAAGGGGGCTGGGCCGTGAAGGTAGGACAAAAAAGAGACGAGCAAGGGCTAGGGGGAGGGAGGGTGAGCTTGGGACTCAACAAATTGTATTACAGAAGAGCTCCAAATATTGGGCCAACTCTTTCACGTTTGAATGCTATGCCTGCAAAAGTCGCCAAAAAATTATTATTGTTATTTCTCCCGGTTGAAATCTTTTTGACATGTTCACATAAATCTACAGAACTATTTTGTGTATGGGTAAAGACAGCATCATTTATATCTTTAGCACCGAATTGACCTACAATGCAACCCTGCCAGCGATATACATCCTCGTTACATAGCCCCTAAATACTTCTGGCGTAGTCTCCCTCCAAGCCGAAAAGGCAGAGCGCTGCGTGACATCCAAACAACGGCTGCGAAAGAGAGAGCGTTGCGTGACATCCAAAAAACGGCTGCGAAAGAGGGAGTGGTGCGTGACATCCAAAAAACGGCTGCGAGGGAGACTACTGTTTACAGAGATAAACATGTTTTTAGCAAATCCAGATATAATCAATAACAGTTTTAATAATGGCCTAAATAAGAGTGGGCTGCAACTTAACGAGAGAGATGATAATATTATGATGTTTAGTAATTTTGTAAATTGTCTTAGCGCGCTCACAGGTGGGCTTGATTTTCTCGCCTATCTCAATCTCTAGATCAATCCAGTCGGAAATATCCTCTAACTTTGCCTCCACTTTCTAGCACTTCAAATGCTCCTTTGCCTGCTTATTCCCTCACTGACAATCTTAGCTCTGAATCTTTACAAACCGGTTGTTCTAATAATCCAGTTGAACCCAGATCGACAGAAGTTGACCCCCCAACAAAGATCCTCACCTTTGGAATTATCCCCTAAGAAGTCTACGGGGTATTTCTTATGATAGATGACTCGAGGACCGACACCCCGCCCAAAAGTGGTACCTTTTCCAGGGTAGACACAGGAGTGGTTATGAAAAGGGTTGGCACAGGGGCGTGCATTGCATGAACGAGCTTGATGGAAACGCGTATGGATTGCCTTTCTTCCTGGAAGTGGGTGCGCGGCTGCACGCGCAGTTTAGTCTCCTTGCAGAAGACAATATCTGAGAAAAAAAAAGTTAATTATCTGCAGTTTATAGCGCATGGTCATGGCGCACAAATATACGTTGATAAATTTGAAAAGAGAAAAAGAAACTCAAGAATGTTGTCTATTCTGTAACATTGATCACACCTTTTTATTTTGGTGTCATTGGCTCGAAGGTCCTAACTTCTACCCTGCGCAGTCACATCAACAACTGAAATCCTAATTTCGTACAGGACCAAGGCAAGATAAGTGCTTGGTTGCACACGAGATCTGAAAATGGGTCCAGAAGAATGCTCAGGTGATCTCTTGTTTTTGTCACGCCCTAACCATGTTTTTGTCCCATTTATTGTCACTTTAGTTCATTCATCGCCACCGCAACAGCTGCGCAGGAGTGGCGCGTCCACTAATCCTCGCGAAAATAGTCGCACGCTTAGCGCGGGCGCACGCCTCGCGTTTAATATTAACCTAAGTTAGTCTCTCTAATCCAAGTAAATCGAACAGTTCACTACATTCTTTCTCGATAATGCGAATTCGTTCTATCGGGGATTCTTTCCTCCATTTTTTGACACTTGCTGTGGCATTTCGCACGGAAGAGAAAGCTTTTTTTGATTCCTCTTCCAGAGCTTCCTTGCTCGGATTTGTAGCTTGAACAATCCATCGAATTAAACTCTCCGGCATTTCAAACCCAGCAAATTTGTAAATCTCCTGAGCGGTTTTCACCGGAGATGAAGCGATATCTTGGTATCGCAAGAGCTTGTAGTGTTCTTTTAAGCTACCTTCGAGGCTTTTACCGAACTTCACGTTTTGCGTGATGCCCTCGCACGTTGCACGCGGTATGAAGAAGAAATTTTCCTTCTGGTAGTCGCCAATCCACTGGAGGTTAATGCGAGAGTTGATGCTTCCGCGTGGATCGCGAACAACGTGCAAGACCTTGATTTCAGTGTCAGGATTATCATGAATTATTTTGGGGAAAATGCTGGAGAGCTTTCGGTCAGGGACGCGTACAATGGCAACTTTCGTGACACTGTGTTTGTAATAATCAGAACAAGTTTGTTCAACAAGTTTCGGCACTGTTGATGGGTTGGGACAAGACATCTGTCCTTTAGCAGTCTTGTTACATATTGGAGAAGATTGGAAAGGATTCTTGAACAATCCCGGAGCCCACTTTTTCGCGGTTTTCTCCAGGAATTTTAGCACGGTTGGATTGCTAGCAAAATGACAACTCATGATTGCGCTTATAACATTGTTAACATCCGCTGTCAAGTTTCTGCCCTTTTCATCTCTCGTCCAGTCTCGTGTGATCCAGAGCGGTTCATATACAGAAAATATTTGTGGGTCTTCGCTAAAAAGGCGTGTCAGAAAAGTTGTACCCGAGCGATCATCTCCGAAAATAACCAAGCTTCGCCTTTTGTCTGTTTTCCTGGTCGAGTAGCGTTCCGTGTTTATTTCTGGTAACGGTCCCTTTCCAGTGTCTTCGGCGATTCGTCGGACATCTTCGGTAACAGCTCGTATACGGTCGGTGGAAATGATCGGATTTGTACAGGGACATGGCTGCTGGTATTTGGCGTCTTTCATCAGTTCATGAACCAGGGTATTAGGAATTACAATTTGGCTTTTAAAAACCATGAATATGGATAGAACTCCGATTAGAAGCACAAAAGCGACAAAAAAGCGCAAAAGGAACCGTAACCGTACCCAAAACATGGCACTGTATGGCTTGCATTCAACCTGAAAAATGAATCAAAATCGCAATCAAAATTTGTTGGCGACCAGTTCAAAGGTACATTAAATTTTCGGGCCAAATTACCCGAGAAGCTACCCTGCTAGCAGAGTCGCTTTGATCTTTCCTAGATAAGTCGGAAAAGAGGATAAGAAGAGCGATAGACGGTTCAGATTCCCCTATTTTGATAAGATCGCCGAGAACGAGCGCTACAGGCGGCGGCCATCTTGACCGAGTCTAGCTTGAAGAAGACTACCTACCTTATTATAGGAAATTAACGCTTCATGACATTAAGGTATTGGAAATTAACGCGACTTAAATTAACGCGAATTTAATGGAAAACGACTTTCGAATAAAGAAAATTAACGCGAAAGAGGAGGTAGAATTTCTTAATAAAGGAAATTAACGCGATTAATTACGCGAAATGAAAGGAGAAGATATCGACATCACCTCTGACAGCGACAACGATGAAGACGAACTCGAAATATTCATGTAAACCTTCGCCTTAGCTTTTGTGAAAGATGAAAAACAAAGGGTAAATGGAAAGAAAGAAAGCTTGTAGCTAACGTTTTTCAGGTGTCAAGAATTCTGGACAGGTTCCAAAATTGGGGTTAAAATACTGGAAATTAAGAGCGCGGAAATAAACACTGCACTTAATTAACGTCGCGGAAATTAACACTCAACAAAATTAACGCGACTTAAATCAACGCGAATTTTAACGATTCGCGTTAATTTCATGGAGCGGTAATTTCCTATAATAAGGTAATCTACTTAAGGGGTGGGAAACGGTTTGGGAGGACGCGGGAAAAATAGAAATTTCCCCCACCGCTGTGAACCCTTCGGTACATTTAATTTGAATCTAATGACAAAATGGCCGCCATTGACGGTAAGCGCTCGATCTGGACAATCTTACGGAAAAATAGGGGACTGTGAACAGTCCGCAAGATCGAACGAGACTTAACTCGCAGAGGAACAATGGAGAGCTTAAGCAACGAGGACGACAACGGCAACGATCGAGAACAGCAAAAAAGAATAGAGTGTTTTCACATGACGTCACGGCGGCCATATTGGTGTCCCAAAACAATGAAACGGCGGCCATGTTGGTGTCCCAAACCAATCCTCTGGGAGTTGAACTCTTTTCTTATGCAAACGCTTTCTTTTGTTCCCATAAATTTGCATAGATGCTGGCTACGTGAGTGAAAACACTCTATAGGTTTAGATTAGCAAAACAACAACTCTGCACGTCCATCACGCTTTCTTTGTACATTTCTTAGCCGTCGTTGCACGACTACAACGTTAAAGCGCCTAATTTCACGTTTCGTCGAGGACGGGAACACAAGACAACAACTTTCCTTTTTTTCCCTAAACTATGAAACAGTCCTTTAGAATTCAACTCCAAAAGATTTGCCAGCCTTTGACGAATTAAACGAGACGGATAAGTGACGTTATCGTAGCCGTCGCCGTCGACAGAAGGGGGAGCAGTCTAGCCTTAAGTAAAGGAAAAATTGTTCAGCAGGCTGGTGTCTGAGAAGTTTTCGGTATGTGCTGGAACAGCGGGAAACACGATTAGATTAATTAAATTATCTCCTGAGAGAGACAAATATGGAGGTAAAAAGCAATTCCTCCTTGAAGTCGGCTTGAAATAACACTGCTGGAAGATAAAGGTCGTGAGAAGACGCGAAATGATCAACAAGTAAAAAAGGCTTTGAACGTTAAACACTAAATTCTCATCACCAGTACTGTAGAAAACGTGTGATACGCTTGCGGATATCTGACTAGTTTTAAGGGTGCAAGGATAAAAAAAAAGAGACTGCGAATGCCAATAGTTAATGTCTTTCTTTTCCTTTAAGAAATCATTCATTAAAAATTATTCGGTATTCGGAATCGCATTGAGAATAACGATTTTCACTTTGCATTACAAAGGTCGGATATTTGGCATCGCCGAAGAGGTACTGTGAATATGAAGGAAATGTTGCCAACACGACGACTAAAATCGAAAAATTCCCTTGAGCTCCTTTACTTCCAAATTTGGATCAAGTATAAAACTTGACAAAAATTCCAAATGCTGTTTAATAAAATACTTAAAAAAAATAGCATCGTGTGAAAGTACTAGCAAAGAAGTTTTATTTGACTGTTCAAACATCACCTCTCACGTAACTTTATCATTATATTCACCCAGGAAGTGAGAGGATTGCGTAAAATTTTATAATCAGAATTTCACGCTGAAGTTGGTTGAAAAGGTGCTTTTCTGCCCGACCGTTTTAGTTAACGAATGACCTTGGTGATTTATCATATCAAATTGCCATTTGGTAACTGACTGTTATGAGAAAATTTGAAGTCTGTATGCGTTGGAAAGCAAACAACATAGGCGTACGGGCCGGGAGGCGAGGGGGGCTGCAGCCCCCCCCCCCCCCCCCCAAATTTTGGGCGACTCAGATTTTTTGGGCAGCAAGAGAAAATTTGGGCAAAGCCAGTTTTTAAAGACGTTTCCATGTGTTTTTTATTACTCTAAAGAGACAAATATTTTCTATTTTAATCTGAAAAAATCCAGTAATAATCCAGTTACATTCTCTCGAGACACTCACAGTGGTTGCCTAGCGCGTGATGAGTTTCTGGTTATAGGGAAGGGTATCATTTGTTGATTTACATATTTATAGTTTTTTATTGGTGAGCACTGTACTGTACTGCAATGACTGGAATGGGCTCTTTCCAGTCGTGAATTGATTAGAATAAATTTCCGCATATCTTTCTAGAATCATCTCAGCAACAGTGGGTCTGAAAATGAAGAAGTGGCTGACTAGTAATCCGCTCGAATTACGAGAAGAATATATTTTTTTTTTAAAAATCTATCAAGCAAAAAGTTATTAAAGTAGACCGAAATGTTTACAAAACCGCTAACAAGAGCGCCTCGATACTAATGAAATCCTTCTCTCTAGCAATCGGCCGGAGCCATAGCCATGATCATATCTTTTACACACGTTTTTAAAAAGATTGAAGCTACTATGAGGTGAAATTGCATGTCAAAAGAGCTTCGTTTTCTACAAATAACAGCCAAACATCAAGATTTTTTTCCCCATATTTATAATGATAAAACCTTCATCCCAAAATATCCCAATAACGCTCCTATAGATTCCGTTTTAACTTCACGAACATCGAGGCGACTATTGGAGAAAAAAGTTCCCGTGAACAATTTTGTAGGAACAGTTCCCAGTGCCGAGAAATATTGCTGCAAGTAAAATAGACAATGGCGTCATTTCGTTGCTATGACAATTCCGATGTCATTAAAACCCTGCTCATGATAAATTTTCATCTTTATCTAATAAAACTATGGTAGCAGTTTTTCCAAATGTTTGTCTATGGCGACGTAGTTATTCTCAAAATTGGGAGGTATTGACCTTTATAAGCCACTACGGCCTACGTTATTGCATCGTATCGCCCTCGTTTCTTTTCTACTGTTTCGTAAAAATTTGGGCAACTTGGGAGAATTTTTTGGGAAAATGGCTTAACGCCCCCCTGGCAAAAAATTGCCCGTACGCCTATGGTAAACAAGGCTTTTAATTAAACGCCAACGTGGAGGTGGGAACATTACTGTAATTTTGTGAATATGATGAGCACACTAATCAGGTTCCCGAGTTTTTTCGGACAGTTTTAATTAGATCAAAAAATAGATTCAACACACCCCAGAGCTCCTGTTTTTCCACTACCGAGAATTTAGAACTTCCTTGCACAGCATAACTTGAAAAAACAGTACCACCGAAAGTCCTTTTTTAAATAGTTAACTATCAGGTTTCATGCGTATACGTTAAACCAACCACAAAGAGTCGCTGAAGAGTAAACATTTTCAAAGAAACTACTGCCTCTCGGTAAGGAATGCCTAACGAAGGGCACAGTTTCTTTTAATTTTTTTTCAAATCAAGAGAAACAGTACGACGTAATATTAAAGGAAAATACTGCTCAGCCATTTTGGTAAGGAAGCCCTGCTTAGGATTTACAGATCGTGAAAAAGCAAATGTCGACTTGTAAACATTTCAACGCTGTCAAAATATTGCGGTGGGCAGCTTTTAGTTGCTTTTACTCTATCAATTATAACGTAATTTTCCCTTACGACCTTGCAAGGCAAAAAGTGCAATTTGAAGTGAATTAAATGATAATACACAGCTGAATACAAAACGGCCTAAGGCGGTTTGCTTTTAACTTGTAAAGGCCCATATTAAAGTTGAGAGCAGCACTGACCACATAACGCCTGAGGTCAAATGACCATTTTGGACTCGAAATATCCCAAATTAAAACACTTGTGAAGCTAAACAAATGTAGCCCTTAGCCATTTAGAATGCAAGTACTGTGTTTCATAAACTTTCACTTTTATAATACAGTGTAGTTCACTTTGGGCTATATTAAATTGTGTATGAATAAACAAAAGACAAGAACGTCCAAGGGAGTCGGTTTTCTCCCCTTGTTCTGCTTACCTCTCGCTGGAACACCTTAAAGTTTCGTTCTTTATCAACCTTTTATATATCTAGCTTATGCTCGAGGCTGGTGATTCCTCGCAGCGCAAAGCTAATAACCCACGCGCTGAATAAAACCAATTCGGGAAATTCTTTTTTCGTATACAACTGACAGGATATGCCAAACATTGCACCTAAGGGTAACTTCCATGGCAATGAAACTTACAGTCAAAACCTCCATAATTAATCGGTCATTTGACATAGAAGGACCTTACTTTTTTACTGCCAATTAGTAAATTTATTTCGCAAATGTTCTTACCGAAGATAATAGCGCTTTTATTGCACGGAATAAACTTAGTCAATACAAAAGTATTAACTGCCCCCCGCTAGTTTTCGCGTTTTTCTGAGGCGGAGGCTAATTTAACGACAGGACTAGAGCTTCAAAGCAAGCACTAGTATTAAATGACATAATGTCATTCTGTTTAACTTTAACACTAAAGCTCTGCGCTAGTTATAGTTCGTTCCGGTCAGTGATGCAAATACATTCGCAGTAAGTAAGTAACAATTAACCTTAACGAGATGGAATGATTATTCTTTCTTGACAATACAGAACACCATGTCACCAAAACTGAAATCCACAGTTACAAACAAATACAAGGAATTCTACTGTAAAAATTCGCCATAAACGTAAGAAATAAAAATTATTCAAATGTTACTTTTTGTTTCTTTTTCCTTTTTATACGTCCTTGAGCCGCCAAAGGTCCGGAGAAATTGTCATGCGTTCAGACGATACCCCAGACCTACTCCATGTCCAAAATGAAACGAGAAAAGGCTGGGAACAAGGAACTTCTGATCAACAGGATTTTGATCGATCGATTGGAGTGAAGAGAGTATATTTTTAGTTGGCTGAAACTCCGTTGCTAATTTCCAAAATTATTGTATTTCTCTTCCATCGAAATTTAATTTCGACAAGTGAAATTTAATTTGCTGGCAAGATAAACAAAACAGATAAATTAACTATTACAAAACAAACAGAACAGGACAATTTTTCTGCAAGATCTCCCACGAGCACTGACAGTCACAATATTAAAATCCCCCCCTCTACAATCTCGCAAATTTTAATACCTTTGCCACAAAGAAAATAATCGAAAGAGCTGCCTTGTGGTGTACCTGCTAAATTACGAATCTACGGACGAAATCCGTGTGACTATAAACAGCGATAAAGGTGATTCTAACCTTTTTGTCACAAATGAGGGCAACAACCAAAGAACCATTCAAAATGTTAGGGTGGATGGATCTGGAAACACAAAGAAAAGCCCAAAAATGTATTTTAGTTTTTAAATGTCTAAATGAATTAGTGCCTCCATATTTATCGGATTATTTTATTAGAAATCCCACTATTCACACTTAAAACACAAGACAAAGCAACGACATTAAGTTTACGCAGGGCCCCTGTTGATACCAGCCAACGGCTGATAAGGCTACCCTGCCTAAAGAAAGCTGACTTGACTTAACTTGTCTGTAGATGAAATCCTAGAGTGTGACCATTTAAATGAGGGCCAATCTAACTTTTTTTGATTAAAAAAAAAAACATTCAAGTCACCCAAAACAATATAGCTTTAAAGAGCTAGATGGCTTCCTTGGAAAAGAGATGGCAAATGACTAGTTCGAGAGACTTTAACGAGCCTGTGGAACACTGAGCCTTTTCCCTGCGAACCCAAGACTTTCTATTATGCTGTTTTTAAATCATTGCATTCAGCTACAAAGAGTCTTAAAGACTCGATTCCAAACCGAGCCTTTCTCCAACTCTCAAAGTTTTTCTTAACTAGCCGATTAAATTTTGAAAAATTTAGAAAGGGCTAATGGGCTTCTTTCTCATTAATATAGTTCACAAGCGGTTTCTTAGATACCGAGGCAAGCATCAAAAAATACGGTTCATTTAATTTATTTAACGCGTTGGCAAACTCGATGTTGACTTTGACGTGGTTTAATTTCAATGAATTTACCTTTAATTTGAGTGGTGATAGCTGCTTCTTTAAATGCTCGGAAATAAACTATTTCGAAAAAGCTACCTCGCAAAGGCTTTTGTTGCTGGACCATTGTAGCTTAATCAAAAACAAAACAGAAACAGCGGTGATAAATATTGTAAACTTATTACACATACCAAATGGGACTCATTCAGTCATCGCAAGCTGATACTGAAAATATATCTCATTCGCACGTCAACTTTATCGCTGCTACCGAATTTGCTCCTCTTCTTCCCTTGACGACTTTAGAAGACTTGTGCTTCAAAATGCCGGGTTTCCCTCAAGGGATTATCTCTTACCACCACAATGTCTGAATGGTGCCAGTTAAAACAGAAACAGAGACGAGCCAGACAGTCTGTACCCATGGTTCCTAAAAAAGGATATAATTGTTCTGTTACTTTCCTTAGGTCAGTATTCAACGAAACCAAAATACTGACTACGTTAGATCGCGAGCGGTCGTCCTTCTTCCCTCAGAGCCACGCTCGGCGAGCGGAAAAAACTATGTCCACTCGCTCCTCACGCGTGCTCTCGATCTACTGTGATTCACTGCAAGAGAAAAATAAGAGACTGCTCGCAGTCTATAACCGCGTCCGAAAACCACCGGACATAATATGAAGAGGAATCATTTTGAAACTTTAGCGTCGGGCAAATCTGTTTATCTATGGGAGTGCCGGCCCCTTCCCCCGGTGGCTAAGCTCTACAGTATCACATCCTATTTTGGGATTTAACTCCAAACGGTCATCAGGCTTTTTTGTACATTTCTTTGCCGTCACTGCCCGATTACCACGGGGAGGGGCCTAAATCGGAGCTTTAGAATAATTAGAATTAGAAGGGATTCATTTAAGGAGACCTGGGGTACTTCTCCTTTACATGGGAAAACCGCAAATTCCCGATGGAAGATCAAATGGTACGCGCCATTCCGTTTGGGAAGCTTTGGAAAATATGGGCTCAGGCCGGAGTCCATGATGGGCTGTGATTTGAGGCGATGCAATTTTCTTACTCTTTTAGCCTGTCGCAGCTGATTTGTATACTGATTTTGTAGCGGGTCGTTCTCCCACCACGTCAAATGTTATAGTTTTATGTTTATGCACAAGATTTCCACCCAGGTGTTAATGGCAAGCACCCCAGAATTTCGAATCTTGCCGGCTGATTCCCTCGGAAACGGACTAACCACCCTCCCCCCAACCCCGCTCTGATAGTATGCTTATAGTGCGCTTATGCGTTTGCCAGGGTTTAATAAAAAAAAATTGCAAAAAGTCTTACGACCTGCTTTGTTGCCATTCCGTCCATTCATGTGTAACCTCACTACACTCAAGAATGTGGAATGTGGAAAAGATGTGGAAAAACTGAACTACTGAAAAGTTAGGGCAGGTTTAGCTTTCCCTTCTTCTGATCGAAGCTAGGTTACGTTTAGGAGAAATGGGTGGTCTGCTACACAGCCGCTTTTAGTGTCGTCACACATCGCTCCTCCCCACTAACTTAATGGAGATGAGCGTTGCGTCACGACACTAAAAACGGCTGTGTAGCAGACTAGAGAAATACGCGGACCTCTAAGAAATTCTTGGTCACGCCCGTGCTTACGAAATAATGAAAAAATTTCATTGATAACAATGCTAAATATTAAAATCCTATTTACAATTAATTCGCTTGAAAAAAAGAAAAAACTATTCATTCAAAACACTATTTACAATTCCTGTCGATTTAAAAAGCACTTAATTTAGCTTAAAAAGAGTTAATTTAACTAACAAAAATTTATTCGAATTAAACACATTTCATTTCAATAAAAAAAATGTCAGCCTCTAATATTCAACGAAAGCATTTAAGAGAAAATGTATCATTTTTTTAAAATGACCTCCTTACTACAGTCGAACCCTAGTTTATTACCCTGGGTACCAGAGGTTTTTCTCGGGTGCAGGGGGAATTTTCGGTGTTGGCCGAAGGCCGACACATCTTCGGCCGTAGGCCGAAGCCACGGAAACCGTGCTAGAAAAGTCTCTGGCACCCAGGGTACCAGCTTATGGACACTTGCTTAATACGGACACCTCGTTATTACGGACAGTTTTCTTTGTCCCTGGAGAAAGCCTTTTAATCCATTTTCTCTAAAAACGGACACCCGTTAAATCTTGCCCAATGGACAGATTCTCATAGAAATCCAACCTCGCCAATGCGTAGCCTGCGAAAACATCCGTTTCTTGTCGCTCTTGGATGGAAGAGCGAGGAGAAACGGATGTTTTCGCAGGCTAGCTAATGCGGAAATGTCATTATAAACCCAATAGTGCTCAAGATCAATTTTCTCCTAACGATATCCATAGACTATCATGAGCAAAGTCTATGAGAATTAACAAAATGATCACAAAGAGAAAAATATTTGATCTTTTACCAAATTCTCTCAAATAATTCTTCAAGGAAATGTATGGAGACCATTTTGGAGAATTTGTATGTGGACATTGGGACTTAAAGGGTTAACTGTGTGTTGTAACGAACCTCTCCTATTTGAAACCTTCAGTAAACAACATGTCGATCTTCCCAGCGCAACAGTACACCGAATTGAATGATTTGAAGACGTCAATTTCAGACTGAGACTATATCAGGCATGGGCTAGTTACGCAGAGAACCGTTTTGACTAAGTAACATAGATGAGCGATTTTTGAACGTTTCCGTGGATTTAGTCCGCGGAATGACGGATTTGTTAAAGTCGGGAGTTGTTTTTAAAATTTGACGATTTTTATGTCCTCTTTAATTTGTTTTATTAGTATTTTGTTCAAATAAAGAGTGTTTTTCCCGTTAATACGGACACTTTCTACGACCCTTTCACTTTCCATATTAACGGGTTTTGACGGCAATATATTTTTCTTTACGCGCTCATTATTCCTAATATAGACTGAGGTCAGTTCATTTCATTACATAGGGGTTGCACTGCAAACGTCAAACATGTTAAGAATTTCCGTGTTAGGTAGCACTCTATCGATGATTTGCGAGTGATACATTCTTCGTTTACTACTTTCTTGGCCAAAATTGATTTAATATTGTCGATGGGTGCAAATTCTTAAACGTGATAACCACATGTCTTCTTGTGACTTTAATAAGGGATTAACAGGTTAAGAGTATTTTATATATAGAAGAGTCTGTTAAATACAGTTTTTAACGACAGAAGACAATTTCCCGGGGTCAAAGATGCCTCTGCTAGTATATATAGAATATGTAGTACAGTTTATATAGTACATATAGGACAGTTAAAAAAAAAACAAAAAAAACTCGGAAATTCGTCGATCTACTGTATAGTGTAAGCTTACATTACCAAGCCATTGTGCGTTAACTACAATTGTTTTTTGTCAGGTATTGTATTATGAAACAGTATTTTTAAACATATTTCAAAACGAAACAATTTATTGCCAATCAAACTTTGGTCGATTGCAGACATCTGTTTTGAGAGTGACTAGCAATTCAATCAAAAAATTTGTTATCGCTCTATCAAACTGTCAACAAAGGGCAAAATGCGAACGAGAAAGGAAAAAATCGTCAAAATGCCATTAGATTTTTCTGATCTATGACGTCCAAAACGGAACTGACTAAGATTAAGATAATTACTTTTCAGTTTAATTCACAGATGAATGCGTCAGTGCGTGCTCAAGACCAATCAAGGATTTAGCGTAATGATGAGTCTTAATATTTCATATATTGTGCGGTGAAACCGAAACTGCCGCGATTCGCCTTCGCGCTCCTAGCCACTTGTCACCGATATTCGCTTCGCTGGTGAAGGAAAACGATTTTCTCGCGTGATGTGGCTGCGATTATTGAGGCGAAGATCGCGAGGATGTGGCCTTTTTCTTGGGTTGAAAATCTGCGTAATAATGAGCATGTTTATCCTCTATCACCTACTGTATAACGAGGGCAAGCTTGCTTCATCGATACCAGGATTATTACCATTGGAAAATATTCAGCTAAGAACTCACATCGAAACAATTAATTACCGATCTTTAACTGCAAATACACAGACTTCATCGGCCATACTTAATAATGGTACTTTTATAATCTCCGAACCTAATGAATTTGAAGCTGAAGAAAGAGATGCGAGTATAAAATTTCTCTTCGTTTTACATCATTATGAGCAGCTTTCGAAGACGACAGAAAACTTACTTCAACTTGCTGCGGTCGCCAAGCAAATCGAACGCGTGATCGTTGAGCCATTTGTTCGAGATTCTAGAATGTGTGGTTTACCCTACGGATGGTCTGGAAAACTAAGAAGTGAACGACGTAGATTTCACCCACTTTCTTTGTATTTTGATGTAAAATTCATGAACAATTTGCTGAAGAAATATCACATCGCGCCCATGGTAAAATTAGAAACTTTTAAACGCCAGTGTCGCTCAAGCGTGACCAACACCACGATCATACATTTTCTGTACAGCGATCAATCGGAGAAGGAAATGAAAAAGTGGTACAAGATTTCGGCTCTTGAATATCAAGACATTAAAAAACGGGCAAAATCTTCTGGTTGGTGTGAATGTAAATTTATCGAACAAGCTCTCAGTGTGTCGAATCGAATTGGGGAGCTTCGTATCGGAAGGCAAATCTGCGTTGATGCTGAGAAAGTTAGTAGCCTTGAGCTGTTCGAAAAGGAAATTACGAAAGGAGATAAATGCGTCGTCGTAATTCATTGGCGTGGAATCGGAAAAGATAGAACCCATTTTAAACCGGAAGTTGAAGTGGATAACCGGAAATTGCTGCATTCGTTACGGTCTAGCGAACGCGTTGCGGAGAAAGCTACGAAGATCAGAGATTCAATCGGTGGAGAGTATATATCTATTCACATTCGATCTGAAAGACAGATTCAGTGGTATGATGTCGAACGACTAGCGCAGTGCGTCAGAACTTTGGTGAAAAAAGTTGAAAGTCTCAAGCAAAAATATAATAAAACAAGGGTTTTTCTTTCGTCAGACTTCACCCGATTTGGATCGGACACTCTACATTCATTCACGGCACAAAACACTTCATTAGTGAACAAATTAAAACAGATTAAGAGATTTTTGTACAAGGCTTTAAAACCTTTAAAGTACAATCCAAAGTCGGGCGATCCGTTAGATATGGACAGCGGCGTTGTGGCCCTCACAGAGATGAATGTGCTTACAGGGGGGTCACACTTAGTGACCATTGGCTCTGGAAATTTCCAGCAATGGATTGTTGATGGGTTCGTGGAGAGGAAGGCTGGCACCGAACAGCAGAACAACTGGACCATAACAAGAATTTGCAATAAAGAAGACAAAGTGAACGACTACAAACCTAGATGAGTGATGTTGCCTTGGTAACTAATGATTGACACATGTTGATCCATCTGGTCTTTTTGTGGTGCAGACCTTTTCAGCCATCAGTGACTAGGGGGATAGGAAAACCTTGCGTGCTGTTGCGGCATCAGGAATTTCATGCCAGGTGCTGTAGCCATCACATGCCAGCCAGTGTGAAAACCATCAAATTGCTGACAAGCATTGGACAGAAAATACACCATCCCAAGCATGCACAAGGACAACTGGAAATCAAAAGAACTAAAAAACAGGTCACAGGACTTGAGAAAAGTCCTGGTCAGTTCTCTGGGACAACTAAACCTTCTTCGCCTGCATAACAGGCACCAGTTATTTTTTTTTTAAAAGGCAACGCAAGTTGGGAGGAAGCCTCATCTTCTTTTCTCCCCTTGCGCGTCCTCGAGATTTCTTCTTTTGCCCTAAAAAAAACCGGCGCCTGCTATGAAGGCTAGAAGCTTCTTTGTTTGCCAGTTTAAACAAAATCTGTGAAATTTATGATGGAATGGTAGTTAATGATATATGAAATAAATCATGAACTGTGGAAATGAAATAAAATGAAGAAATAATTGTTCCAGCGAACGTAATTTATGCAATTGCGTAAAGACAACTGACCTGCTCCCAATGTCTGTGGCTTCATAGCTCAGTTGGTAGAGCATCACACCGGTATTGCGAGGTCACGGGTTCAAACCCCGTTGAAGTCCTGAATTTTTTTTCAGGCTTCTTTACGCAATTGCATAAATTGTGTTCACGGTGACGATCATTTCTTCATTTTATTATTAGAGTATTATATCTTGTAGAGTGCATAAAATGCAAACATTGTGTTTTTTGGTGTATTATCTATTTGACAAAAGATGTCTAAGATATTTCTGTGCTTTCAAAGGCAGTTTAAGAATATAATTTAAAGACCGAAGGGATCCTTAGGTCCAAATAAAGTGTCTACACCATAAATAAAAATTTACAGAATGTAATAAGCAAAGTAATGTAACCCTTTTTGGGGAGTAGTCAGAAGTACGGTAGCTAGTGCAAGGGCATGGTTATCTTAACCCTGTGAGTCCCAAGATTGGCCAACAACAATCTTAACACTGTCGATGCACAGGTTATTAAAATTAACGAAATGATCACCCAAGGGAGAAATGCTTTGATCTTTAAAAAATTCTCTCAACAATTTTTTTAAGGAAATGTATGAATATCACTCTAGAGAATGCGTATTCAGTATTGGGGGTTAAAGGGTTGAAGTGCCAGCCATCTCAGGGAGCCTTGTTTGGTTTTTTATCCCAGTACCAAGTTAAATGAATGCAATTTCAGTAACACAACAAGAAATGAAAGAACTAGTCACTTCTGTAAAGAACTTTCTTGTAAAGTAATTCTTACCTATATGCGCATACTATTAGATTTGTTTAGAAATGTCAATTACCATATTTTACGAGAATGCAGGCTGCAGATTAGCCATTTGTCTGGACTTTTTTATTGTTTTTAAGCCTAAAAACAAAAATAAAACTCCAGCAGGCAAATATGACAGCTAATGAATCCATGCAACGTTTGAAGACGGGATGAGCATGGGACTCACAAACACACACAAGGCTTGTGGATTCTCTGTTCTGTATCACATTTACGCTAAAAAACAATGCATTCTCTGTTCTTCATTATGTCATAAATGTTACCTTACAAACTTATGTCACATCACTTCGAGATTCATTCTGCCTTGGAACTTTTGCATGTGGCTTTTTCAGGCTGCCGCCTTGCAGCCTCACATCTTCGTGAGGCTGCTTGTTGGCAATGAAACCAAATACAGGCATAATAACTTAAACTGATCACAGATAAATAAAGAGTAGCCTAGATGTCAGCTGCCCTCTCATCCTTCTCAAGTCATACATTCCCGAGATATATAGGTATGTGCAAGTCCAGGAGATGGCTGAAATTCAGGCTAAATAAACTGCATCTGAGATTTCGATTTGTCCAGTATCACATGGTTTTGAGACAATGGAGAATGTGTGTCAGATATCATGTGGAAAAAAGAAGTGATCAGTAATCATAGAGATAAATTCATAAAGAGTACGGGCTGCATTTCAACTGCCTTCTTATCCTTCTCAAGTCACACATTCCCTAGAGAGATGATGTCATCTCTTTCAGGTGTGTGTGAGTCAAGGAGATGGTTGAAATTCAGGCTAAATAAACTGCATTGCCATGTGAGATTCCAAATAGTTCAACTTCACATGGATTTGAGGCAATGGGGAATGTGTGTGATATATCATGTGGCAGAAAAAAATGAAAAATGCTGACTGGCTAAAGGACCCTAAAGAAGTCAGGATAAAATTAAATCCAAACCCCTTTGAAGATATTTCCATCTAGTTAACTAGTAAATAATAGTTGTACCATTCTTTGTTAAGCTTACTTACTCTTGAATCAAAAGATGCATGCTATTGCTGGCTTAATGACAATGCAAAGGATCAAGCCCTGCAGCGGTCCATATCATAAGCTTCTTCCTAAAAAAAAAAATAGGAAATTAAAAGCTTTAAATATTTCCTCTTCCCTTTTATGTGTATAAATAGGTACATGTATGCCTGCAGCCGGGACCTGCAGCCAGTTTGAGAACCGCCATGGCATGTGTGTTGGCATGCCATCTGCTCAGGTCATAGCATTCAATTTCCACGCGTTTAGAAATTCTACACCATCTTTCCTTCGCCCTAGCAGAGTACGAATTAAGTACAATTACAGCCCAGGGTACAGCCCGAAAAATAGAATTTTAGCCCACTGTTTCAATGTTCTGTCCACACTTGAAGGGACGAGTGGGAGACTGGATACGACTTAGCGTTTTAACCGCGAAGGGACTGAGAACCAGGTTCAAACAAAAAATGGCGGCAGCTTGCGGCAGCTTAGGTACATGCCGGGTACGTAGGACTTTTCAAATTTAAATTAATTTTAAATTACCACTTTTGTATATTGCTTCATTAATGATTTTACATTTGCATATTCATATCGCTGTATTTATATATGACAAACATAGTTCTTTAAATTCCTGTGGAAAGGCATATATTGCGCTGAATTAGTATAAACTTCAATCGCCCGGTTCCAAAAGCTATATAAGTTAATACTTGTCCTCTTTTTCGTAAAATCGCGGTCTTAAAAATGTCAAATAATCGAATCAGATGGCATATAGTTCTGGATATTGTCTGTCTCGTTCTGTTAGGAATAGCGGACTTGCTAATTTTCGCAATCCCAATCAAACCGAGCCAACGAGGATTCTTTTGCGATGACAACAGTTTGAAAAAGCCTTTCCAAGAGGAGACTGTTTCTACTTGGGCAACAATTGCAGTTGGATTTTCTGTGTCAATTCCTTCCGTAAGTACCTTCCTTTAAAAAAAAGCTTAACTACGATAATCTCCCAGGATTAATACATCTGTTTACTTTGGAGAACTTTATTGACTTTAGAAACAAACCGACCGAGCAGACGACCTAGTCAATCAACATGCGATCAAACGGCTAAGTACGTCAACTTTGTATATGTCGACATGTTAGGAGAGTAAATAAAGGGATACAAGTTCAACACTTTTTCTTCGCTTTACTTTATGGCTCTGTCAATGTTTACTTTGGCACCTCCGTTGTTCAAGTACAAGCGATAATCTATTTACTAAGCTATTCAGCTGTAACCAATTCAGATTTATTTTACACCAGCTTTACATAACTTTCATCGCATTGATGATATGATTAAACGAATTTTCTTTTTGTGCGATCTGTTTCAAACTTAATAAACTTCGTAAATTTTAGTCGATGATTTTGGCAACATGTGTTTTTCGTGGGAGTAAGGAATTTCCTGTGTGTAATTTTGAATTGCGTTCAAGCTAAGGAATGTTTACCCAAAGCTCTTATTAAGAATTAAGCTGTTATCTTTGGAATACTAATGAAAGTAACGCCGTCCACTATTGTTTAAAATTACCTCGATATTTTTTACTGATTTTTGTGCAGACTGCTAAATTTTTAAACCCCCTGTACTGTGTAGATTTATATTGGTCAACAATATAAGTAATGTTCACTTCAGAAGACTCTTGAGTGAAAAATAAAAAAAATAAAACAAAAACAATCGCTGGTTAGACAAAACAATCACTACTGTTAAAGTTAGCAAATGTTCAAACAGAATAATATTCTTCAGTCTTTGACTCCTGTTTACTTGAGTCTGGAACTGTTTTTAGGCATTTAATCTTTAATTACTTACAAGTTAATTTATTTTATGATGCAGCGTTTTGTAAAGAATTAATGCCAATATTAGACCCTCTTATGATGCAGAGCAATTAAATGATTTGAAACCTTTTCTGCTCCGTATAGATAATAATATGTGAAGTAATCAAAGGCAGATCACTGAGAAGAAAAGCTGGGAGTGGATTTGGCAAAATCAACATCAAATGCGGAGTGCTGAGTTGTAATTTGTTGCCATGGCATAGAAGGTGACTGGAAATAAAAGTCTTAGTCTAAACTATCCTTTGTGACCACTAGCATAAGAAACCAACTCTACTTAGGGGCCAACCATTTGACTTTTTGCAGGATGTTTTTATCCGAAATCACCCATAGTTGCCAACCCCCACCCCAACTTCAAATGTCAAATGAAGAGAACCTAAGAAGAGGTTTCTTTCCACAATGGTTTTTAATAGTACGCACATAAGCTTGATACACTGCATGAATGTCAGCATCGCAAAATCAATGTGTTCCACAATGCAATATTAACAACCATGCTGCAAAGAAACCTCTGCTAACAAGGTATAAAGTATCACCAGCTTTGTGAAAACCTTTTTGAGCTGTGACAGCTCTGTGATGAAAAATTACTCGCAAGCAACTGTGAAGGAAACTGGTCGTTTCGGTACAAAATCGTTTCAATACAAGTCAATTCAATATGAACTTTATAAGTAGTGAAACTGCAAAGCAATTTTGATCAGTTAAATTTAAATATGGCGCGAGTATTTATGAGCCAACAACACGAAAATGTTCACACCTCGACTGAATCAACTTGTATCAAAATGATTTGTATCCAAATGTCTTTGTATTGAAATGACTAGAAATCACTGTGAATCAGTGGCCTTCTTTTCCTTTGTTTTTAAGTTAAGCAACCACTCAACAAAATCAGTACCTGGTGAATAAAAGCATTATCCTGATCCACAGGTAGCCCAAGCTCGAAATATGAGCATTGGTGAGCATCGGCATTGGTGCGTAACATTCAAAATATAAGGATTTGTATGGCAAAAAAACCTATCGTTTCTATAACCTACGAAAATTAAAGGATTTCAATAAAAAACAGCTTACCTTACTTAAAATGTGTGTTACGTCTCTCCTGTGTGGTCCACGGGCCAATTTATGGCCGTTTTATGGGTTTTTATGTAAACGGTTTTCTCTCTACATAAAAACCCATAAATCGGCCTGTGGCCCACACGGGAGAGACGTAACACACATTTTAAGTAAGGTAAGCTGTTTTTTATTGAAATCTTTTCTTTTCGTAGGTTATAGAAACGATAGGTTTTTTTCCCATACAAATCCTTATATTTTGAATGTTACGCAACAATGCCGATGCTCATATTTCGAGCTTGGGCTACCTGTGCCTGATCATTATCAAATAAATTATAATACATAACATGAGCACTAATGAATGAGATAATTAACAAGTAATGAAAAAAAAGGCTTTTTAATATCATTTAATGTAATTCTGACCAGGCTAATATCTCACCTTATCCCTTGTTTTCAGAACTCTGTTTATTATCTTCATGTTTGGCTTTGGTGCTCTTATAACAAACCTGCTTACCGACATCGGCAAAGTAACTGTAGGGGGGTTGCGACCCTATTTCCTTACAGTGTGTAAACCCAATACTACCTTGCCACACTGTAGTCAAGGTTTTGTTACTGATGATATCTGCACTGGAGATCCCAAAGACATTCTAGAGGCCAGGTTTGTATTCATCTCCATTGCAGACTCTGTGCATTACATCTTGCAATCAAGATGGCGGTATACTGACTCACCTGCTGGGGTTCGCAGACCCATAAAAGTGAACACCACTCAATCTTCCCACTTCCTCCCTCAATTACACAGGAAAAAATAACCGATTCCCATTTTTGGATATTTTAGGGTATTTAAAGAATACCCACAAAAATCCCAAATTTGGAAGAGTGAGACAAGTCCCAATCAGGGAACTTGGTTGGGAATTCCCTGGTTGGGACTTGTCTCACTTTGCCAAATTTGGGATTTTTGTGGCTATTCTTTAAATACCCTAAAATATCCAAAAATGGGAATCCGTTATTTTTTCCTGTGTTACCTTTAAAGCATTTTTAGAATGTTATGCATGTACATGTACGCATTCTCTCAGAACAAAGTGCAATATGGAAACCCCTTGTATATCTACCAGCTCTTCCAGCCAATTTATCCAAAAGTCCTGTGGATAAATAGCGAATCTCCCAGTGTCACCATGTTAGTGGTTTTGGAGCCCTTCTTTATATCAGCCAGAATGAATTTGTAAATTTTCTGTACTTTCCATAAAAAAAGCAGAGGGGGATACAGGGGTTAACAGACAGGGAAAGGAGAGAGGGTCATGAATGCAAAACAGAAAGTCTCCAGATAATGGCATCTCTTGCTATTTCCAATCTCGCTCCTGCCCCTTTGAACAATTAGTATTTTTGAAGTTCTTCATTTTTAACTTTGTTTTAGGGAATCATTTCCATCAGCCCATTCATCCTTCTCGGCTTATACCATGGTTTTTCTAGCAGTAAGTTGCATTAGAACTTAAAAGTAATCATTATAATCATCAACAATATCATTAATCTTAATAATTTGCATAATCTTGATCAACTAATCTTGTCATTAATTTAACAGTTTTAGCAATTTTGGCTGGTGGATGTTTAAGCTGCTACCATATCAAAGCGCTTGTAGCCGGAGACACCGACATCTTTGTAAGGGGTTTCAGAAGGGCTTATATCTAAGAGGGCTTTTATAACCAGAATAGAAAAAGTGCTTTGAACCAAGCAGTGCTGATCAAAATACCTTTCGCATTAACTGGTTTCTAATTAAGCTCTAAAACATCATAGTAAATCAGATTCACTTCAATACAACCTAGAGGGAGGGGGCTTATATTCGGATGTATTTTATATTGGCCTATAACTGGCAGAGGGGGAGGGGGGGACTTGTGGGTAGCGGTTTACTGTACACTGCATTTCACCCTACTGCTGTCATGGTAACTTATCCCTAATTCCCTATGTAACAAAATCCTGTTCAGAAATGCTGGTCTGGAGGAAAGTCCTTTACAAACATGACAAACAGGCTTTTACTGACAGAAACATTTTTTTTTTTAAATTTTGTTTTCCAAACAGCTCTATCTGGAAGCATCAATGCCAACAAAACGAACCAACTTAGTCAAACCGTTTGCTCAAGTGAGTTTCATCATCCTGGGTTTACTGTGTGCTTTGTCACGGATATTTGATTATTGGCATCACTGGGGAGATGTGTTGGTTGGCCTGTTCCTGGGTACTATTGTGGCTTTCTTTATTGTAAGTGTAGGATCTTATTAGCAGTCATAGGTAATGTGTCCTGAGGAAACAGCCAATATTTTGCGACACCACTCACTGCTGGTTTCGCTGCAAAATCACACCTGAGGACCAAGCAAAGAAATTCCATACTGATAACACATCACCTATACCCATATAGGGATAGTGCTTCTGACTGGTTGAAGCGAATTTCCAACAAGATCTACCCAGTTCTCGATAGTGATGCATCATCAGTATCAAATTTCGGAACTTAGACATTTCACAGGAAAAAGAATGGTGAGGTTGCAAAACCTGGGTTGTTTTCTCAGGCAATAACTAACATCCCCTCTTACACCCCTACTGCATGTTCTCACAGTTGTGACGTAACTGTTGTTGCTATTGTCACTGTTGTCGCTGCTCACACTGCTGTCGCTGTTGTTATTGTTGTCACCGTTGTCTCTGTAGTCACTGTTCTCCCCATTGTTGCCGTTTTTCCTGTTGTCGCTGTTGTCCCGGCCTGTTGTTGCTGTTGTCTTAGTCTGTAGTCGCTGTTGTCACTGATCTCACTATTGTCACTGTTGTTAACATTGCCGCTGTTGTCACTGTTGTTGCTCCTGTCACTATTGCCATTGTTGTCACTGTTGTAGCTGTTTTCACCATTGACGCTGTTGTCGCTGTTTTCACCGATGTTCCTATTGTTGCTGTTTTCACCATTGTCACTGATGTCACTGTTTTCGCTGTTGTCACTACTTTCACCGTTGTCACCATTATCACTGTTGTCAACATTGTCACCATTGTCACTGTTGTCACCGTTGTCGTTGTTGTCACCGTTGTCTCTGTTGTCACCGTTGTCAGTGTTGTCACCATTGTCACCGGTGTCGCCGTTGTCACTGTTGTCGCCGTTGTCACCGTTGTCGCTTTTGTCACTGTTGTCACCGTTGTCACTGTTGTCACCATTGTCACTGTTGTCACCGTTGTCGTTGTTGTTTCTGTTGTCACCGTTGTCACTGTTGTCGCTGTTGTCACTGTTGTTGCCGTTGTCATTGTTTTCACTGTTCTGAGCGTTGTCACCGTTTTCACTGTTGTCACCGTTGTCACTGTTGTCATTGTTGTCACCGTTCTCACGGTTGTCGATGTTGTTACTGTTGTCACTGTTGTCACCGTTGTCACTGTTGTCACCGTTGTCACTGTTTTCACTGTTCTCACCGTAGTCACCGTTGTCATGGTTGTCACTGTTGTCATTGTTGTCACCGTTGTCACCGTTGTCGTTGTTGTTACTTTTGTCACCGTTGTCACTTTTGTCACTGTTGTCAACATTGTCACTGTTGTCACCGTCGTCGCCGTTGTCACCATTGTCACCGTTGTCGCTTTTAACACTGTTGTCACCGTTCTCACTGTTGTCACCGTTGTCACTGTTTTCACTGTTGTCACCGTTGCCATTGTTGTCACGATTGTCACTGTTGTCATTTTTGTCACCGTTGTCACTGTTGTCGTTGTTGTTACTGTTGTCACTGTTGTCACTGTTGTCACCGTTGTCACTTTTGTCACTGTTGTCATTGTTGTCACCGTTGTCACCGTTGTCGTTGTTGTTACTGTTGTCACTGTTGTCACTGTTGTCACTCTTGTCACCGTTGTCACTGTTTTCACTATTGTCACTGTTCTCACTGTTGTCATTGTTGTCACCATTGTCGTTGTTCTTACTGTTGTCACTATTGTCACCGTTGTCACTGTTGTCACCAGATGTCATCATTGTCACTCTTGTCACCATTGTCACCGTTGTCACCGTTGTCACCGTGTCACTGTTTTCACCGTTGTCACCATTGTCACCATTGTCAGTGTTGTTACCGTTATCACCGTTGTCACGGTTGTCATTGTTATCACTTTTGTCACTCTATTTACCGTTGTCACTGTTGTCACCGTTGTCACTGTTGTCACCGTGGTCACTGTTTTCACCGTTGTCACCGTTGTCACCCTCTTCACTGTTGTCACGGTTGTCACTGTTGTCATTGTTGTCATTGTTGTGACCGTTGTCGTTGTTGTTACTGTTCTCACCGTTGTCACTGTTGTCACCGTTGTCACCGTTGTAACCGTCGTCACTGTTGTCACCGTGGTCACTGTTGTCACCGTTGTCACTGTTGTCACTGTTGTTACCGTGGTCACTGTTGTCACTGTAGTCACCATTGTCACTGTTGTCACTGTTGTCACCGTTGTCACTGTTGTCACCATTGTCATCGTTGTGACTGTTCTCATCGTTGTCACCGTTGTCACTGTTGTCACCTTTCTCACCGTTGTCACTTTTGTCACTCTTGTCACTGTTGTCATCGTTCTCACTATTGTCATCGTTGTCACTGTTGTCACCGTTCTCACTGTTGTCACTGTTGTCACCGTTTTCACTGTTGTCACCGTTGTCATCGTTGTCACTGTTGTCATCGTTGTCACTGTTGTCACCATTGTCACCGTTGTCACCGTTGTCATCGTTGTCACTGTTGTCACCGTTGTCACCGTTGTCACCGTTGTCACTGTTGTCACTGTTGTCACCGTTGTCATCGTTGTCACTGTTGTCACCGTTGTCACTGTTGTCATCGTTGTCACTGTTGTCACCGTTGTCACTGTTGTCACTCTTGACATCGTTGTCACTGTTGTCACCGTTGTCACTGTTGTCATCATTGTCACTGTTGTCACCGTTGTCACTGTTGTCGCCTTTGTCACCGTTGTCATTTTTGTCACCGTTGTCATCGTTGTCACTGTTGTCATAGTTGTCACTGTTGTCACCGTTGTCACTGTTGTCACCGTTGTCATCGTTGTCACTGTTGTCATCATTGTCACTGTTGCCACCGTTGTCACCGTTGTCATTGTTGTCACTGTTGTCATCATTGTCACTGTTGTCACCGTTTCCAGTGTTGTCACCTTTGTCATCGTTGTCACTGTTGTCATCATTGTCACTGTTGTCACCGTTGTCACCGTTGTCACGGTTGTCACCGTTGTCATCGTAGTCACTGTTGTCATCGTTGTCACTGTTGTCACCGTTGTCACCGTTGTCACTGTTATCACTGTTGTCACCGTTCTCATCGTTGTCACTGTTGTCATCGTTGTCACTGTTGTCACCGTTGTCACCGTTGTCACTTTTGTCACCGTTGTCACTGTTGTCACCGTTGTCATCGTTGTCACTGTTGTCATCTTTGTCACTGTTGTCACCTTTCTCATCGTTGTCACTGTTGTCATCGTTGTCACTGTTGTCACTGTTGGCACCGTTGTCATCGTTGTCACTGTTGTCATCGTTGTCACTGTTGTCATGGTTGTCACTGTTGTCATCATTGTCACTGTTGTCACCGTTGTCACTGTTTTCACCGTTGTCACCGTTGTCATCGTTGTGACCGTGGTCATCGTTTTCACTGTTGTCACCGTTGTCACTTTTGTCACCGTTGTCATCGTTGTCACTTTTGTCATCGTTGTCACTGTTGTCACCGTTGTCACTGTTGTCACCGTTATCATCGTAGTCACTGTTGTCACCGTTGTCACTGTTGTAATCGTTGTCACTGTTGTGACCGTTGTCATCGTTGTCACAGTTGTCACTGTTGTCAGCGTTGTCATCGTTGTCACTGTTGTCATCGTTGTCACTGTTGTCACCGTTGTCACTGTTGTCACTATTGTCACCGTTGTCACTGTTGTCATCGTTGTCACTGTTGTCACCGTTGTCATCGTTGTTGACCACTGTTGTCACCGTTGTCACTGTTGTCACTGTTGTCACCGCTGTCATTGTTGTCACTGTTGTCACCGTTGTCATCGTTGTCACTGTTGTCATCGTTGTCACTGTTGTCACCGTTGTCACTGTTGTCACTGTTGTCACCGTTGTCACTGTTGTCACCGTTGTCACTGTTGTCACTGTTGTCATCATTGTCACTGTTGTCACCGTTGTCACTGTTGTCACCTTTGTCACCGTTGTCATTTTTGTCACCGTTGTCATCGTTGTCACTGTTGTCATAGTTGTCACTGTTGTCACCGTTGTCACCGTTGTCATCGTTGTCACTGTTGTCATCGTTGTCACCGTTGTCACCGTTGTCATCGTTGTCACTGTTGTCATCATTGTCACTGTTGTCACCGTTTCCAGTGTTGTCACCGTTGTCATCGTTGTCACTGTTGTCATCATTGTCACTGTTGTCACCGTTGTCACCGTTGTCACGGTTGTCACCGTTGTCACTGTTGTCACCGTTGTCATCGTTGTCACTGTTGTCATTTTTGTCACTGTTGTCACCTTTGTCATCGTTGTCACTGTTGTCATCGTTGTCACTGTTGTCATCATTGTCACCGTTGTCATCGTTGTCACTGTTGTCATCATTATCACTGTTGTCACCGTTTCCAGTGTTGTCACCGTTGTCATCGTTGTCACTGTTGTCATCATTGTCACTGTTGTCACCGTTGTCATCGTTGTCACTGTTGTCATTTTTGTCACTGTTGTCACCTTTGTCATCGTTGTCACTGTTGTCATCGTTGTCACTGTTGTCACTGTTGTCATCGTTGTCACTGTTGTCACCGTTGTCATCGTTGTCACTGTTGTCATCGTTTTCAGTGTTGTCACCGTTGTCATCGTTGTCACTGTTGTCATCATTGTCACTGTTGTCACCGTTGTCACCGTTGTCACGGTTGTCACCGTTGTCATCGTAGTCACTGTTGTCATCGTTGTCACTGTTGTCACCGTTGTCACCGTTGTCACTGTTGTCACTGTTGTCACCGTTGTCATCGTTGTCACTGTTGTCATCGTTGTCACCGTTGTCACTGTTGTCACTTTTGTCACCGTTGTCACTGTTGTCACCGTTGTCATCGTTGTCACTGTTGTCATCTTTGTCACTGTTGTCACCTTTGTCATCGTTGTCACTGTTGTCACCGTTGTCATCGTTGTCACTGTTGTCATCGTTGTCACTGTTGTCATCGTTGTCACTGTTGTCATAGTTGTCACTGTTGTCACCGTTATCACTGTTTTTACCGTTGTCATCGTTGTCACCGTTGTCATCGTTCTCACTGTTGTCATCATTGTCACTGTTGTCACCGTTTCCAGTGTTGTCACCGTTGTCATCGTTGTCACTGTTGTCATCTTTGTCACTGTTGTCACCGTTGTCACCGTTGTCACGGTTGTCACCGTTGTCATCGTTGTCACTGTTGTCATCGTTGTCACCGTTGTCACCGTTGTCACCGTTGTCACTGTTATCACTGTTGTCACCGTTGTCATCGTTGTCACTGTTGTCATCGTTGTCACTGTTGTCACCGTTGTCATCGTTGTCACTGTTGTCATAGTTGTCACTGTTGTCATCCTTGTCACTGTTGTCACCGTTGTCACTGTTGTCACCGTTGTCATCGTTCTCACTGTTCTCATCATTGTCACTGTTGTCACCGTTTCCAGTGTTGTCACCGTTGTCATCGTTGTCACTGTTGTCATCATTGTCACTGTTGTCACCGTTGTCACCGTTGTCACGGTTGTCACCGTTGTCATCGTTGTCACTGTTGTCATCGTTGTCACCGTTGTCACCGTTGTCACCGTTGTCACTGTTATCACTGTTGTCACCGTTGTCATCGTTGTCACTGTTGTCATCGTTGTCACTGTTGTCACCGGTGTCACCGTTGTCACTTTTGTCACCGTTGTCACTTTTGTCACCGTTGTCACTGTTGTCACCGTTGTCATCGTTGTCAGTGTTGTCACCTTTGTCACCGTTGTCACTGTTGTCACCGTTGTCATCGTTGTCACTGTTGTCATCGTTGTCACTGTTGTCACCGTTGTCACTGTTGTTACCGTTTTCATCGTTGTCACTGTTGTCATCGTTGTCACTGTTGTCACCGTTGTCACTGTTGTCATCGTTGTCACTGTTGTCACCATTGTCACTGTTGTCACCGTTGTCACTGTTATCACTGTTGTCACCATTGTCACTGTAGTCACCGTTGTCATCGTTGTCACTGTTGTCATGGTTGTCACTGTTGTCATCATTGTCACTGTTGTCACCGTTGTCACTGTTTTCACCGTTGTCACCGTTGTCATCGTTGTGACCGTGGTCATCGTTTTCACTGTTGTCACCGTTGTCACTTTTGTCACCGTTGTCATCGTTGTCACTTTTGTCATCGTTGTCACTGTTGTCACCGTTGTCACTGTTGTCACCGTTATCATCGTAGTCACTGTTGTCACCGTTGTCACTGTTGTAATCGTTCTCACTGTTGTGACCATTGTCATCGTTGTCACGGTTGTCACTGCTGTCAGCGTTGTCATCGTTGTCACTGTTGTCATCGTTGTCACTGTTGTCACCGTTGTCACTGTTGTCACTGTTGTCACCGTTGTCACTGTTGTCATCGTTGTCACTGTTGTCACCGTTGTCATCGTTGTTGACCACTGTTGTCACCGTTGTCATCGTTCTCACTGTTGTCATCGTTGTCACTGTTGTCATCGTTGTCACTGTTGTCACTGTTGTCATCGTTGTCACTGTTGTCACCGTTGTCATCGTTGTCACTGTTGTCACCGTTGTCACTGTTGACATCGTTGTCACTGTTGTCACCGTTGTCACTGTTGTCACTGTTGTCATCATTGTCACTGTTGTCACCGTTGTCACTGTTGTCACCTTTGTCACCGTTGTCATTTTTGTCACCGTTGTCATCGTTGTCACTGTTGTCATCGTTGTCACTGTTGTCATAGTTGTCACTGTTGTCACCGTTGTCACCGTTGTCATCGTTGTCACTGTTGTCATCATTGTCACCGTTGTCACCGTTGTCATCGTTGTCACTGTTGTCATCATTGTCACTGTTGTCACCGTTTCCAGTGTTGTCACCGTTGTCATCGTTGTCACTGTTGTCATCATTGTCACTGTTGTCACCGTTGTCACCGTTGTCACGGTTGTCACCGTTGTCACTGTTGTCACCGTTGTCATCGTTGTCACTGTTGTCATTTTTGTCACTGTTGTCACCTTTGTCATCGTTGTCACTGTTGTCATCGTTGTCACTGTTGTCATCATTGTCACCGTTGTCATCGTTGTCACTGTTGTCATCATTATCACTGTTGTCACCGTTTCCAGTGTTGTCACCGTTGTCATCGTTGTCACTGTTGTCATCATTGTCACTGTTGTCACCGTTGTCATCGTTGTCACTGTTGTCATTTTTGTCACTGTTGTCACCTTTGTCATCGTTGTCACTGTTGTCATCGTTGTCACTGTTGTCACTGTTGTCATCGTTGTCACTGTTGTCACCGTTGTCATCGTTGTCACTGTTGTCATCGTTTCCAGTGTTGTCACCGTTGTCATCGTTGTCACTGTTGTCATCATTGTCACTGTTGTCACCGTTGTCACCGTTGTCACGGTTGTCACCGTTGTCATCGTAGTCACTGTTGTCATCGTTGTCACTGTTGTCACCGTTGTCACCGTTGTCACTGTTATCACTGTTGTCACCGTTGTCATCGTTGTCACTGTTGTCATCGTTGTCACCGTTGTCGCTGTTGTCACTTTTGTCACCGTTGTCACTGTTGTCACCGTTGTCATCGTTGTCACTGTTGTCATCGTTGTCACTGTTGTCACCGTTGTCATCGTTGTCACTGTTGTCACCGTTGTCATCGTTGTCACTGTTGTCATCGTTGTCACTGTTGTCATCGTTGTCACTGTTGTCATCATTGTCACTGTTGTCACCGTTATCACTGTTTTTACCGTTGTCATCGTTGTCACCGTTGTCATCGTTTTCACTGTTGTCACCGTTGTCACTTTTGTCACCGTTGTCATCGTTGTCACTTTTGTCATCGTTGTTACTGTTGTCACTGTTGTCACCGTTGTCACTGTTGTCACCGTTGTCATCGTAGTCACTGTTGTCACCGTTGTCACTGTTGTAATCGTTCTCACTGTTGTGACCATTGTCATCGTTGTCACGGTTGTCACTGTTGTCAGCGTTGTCATCGTTGTCACTGTTGTCATCGTTGTCACTGTTGTCACCGTTGTCACCGTTGTCACCGTTGTCACCGTTTTCACTGTTGTCACCGTTGTCATCGTTGTCACTGTTGTCACCGTTGTCACCGTTGTCACTGTTGTCACCGTTGTCACCGTTGTCACTGTTGTCACTGTTGTCACTGTTGTCACCGTTGTCACTGTTGTCACCGTTGTCACTGTTGTCACTGTTGTCATCGTTGTCACTGTTGTCACCGTTGTCACTGTTGTCACTGTTGTCACCGTTGTCACTGTTGTCATCGTTGTCACTGTTGTCACCGTTGTCACCGTTGTCACTGTTGTCACTGTTGTCACCGTTGTCACTGTTGTCACCGTTGTCACCGTTGTAATTGTTGTCACCGTTGTCATCGTTGTCACTGTTGTCATAGTTGTCACTGTTGTCATCCTTGTCACTGTTGTCACCGTTGTCACTCTTGTCACCGTTGTCATCGTTCTCACTGTTGTCATCATTGTCACTGTTGTCACCGTTTCCAGTGTTGTCACCGTTGTCATCGTTGTCACTGTTGTCATCTTTGTCACTGTTGTCACCGTTGTCACCGTTGTCACGGTTGTCACCGTTGTCATCGTTGTCACTGTTGTCATCGTTGTCACCGTTGTCACCGTTGTCACCGTTGTCACTGTTATCACTGTTGTCACCGTTGTCATCGTTGTCACTGTTGTCATCGTTGTCACTGTTGTCACCGTTGTCACCGTTGTCACTGTTGTCACCGTTGTCACTGTTGTCACCGTTGTCACCGTTGTCAGTGTTGTCACCTTTGTCATCGTTGTCACTGTTGTCACCGTTGTCATCGTTGTCACTGTTGTCACCGTTGTCACCTTTGTCACCGTTGTCACTGTTGTCATCGTTGTCACTGTTGTCACCGTTGTCACTGTTGTCACTGTTGTCATCGTTGTCACTGTTGTCACCGTTGTCACTGTTGTCACCTTTGTCATCGTTGTCACTGTTGTCACCGTTGTCATCGTTGTCACTGTTGTCACCGTTGTCACTGTTGTCACTGTTGTCATCGTTGTCACTGTTGTCACTCTTGTCACCTTTGTCACCGTTGTCACTGTTGTCATCGTTGTCACTGTTGTCACCGTTGTCACTGTTGTCACTGTTGTCATCGTTGTCACTGTTGTCACCGTTGTCACTGTTGTCACCTTTGTCACCATTGTCATTTTTCTCACCGTTGTCATCGTTGTCACTGTTGTCATAGTTGTCACTGTTGTCATCCTTGTCACTGTTGTCACCGTTGTCACTGTTGTCACCGTTGTCATCGTTCTCACTGTTCTCATCATTGTCACTGTTGTCACCGTTTCCAGTGTTGTCACCGTTGTCATCGTTGTCACTGTTGTCATCATTGTCACTGTTGTCACCGTTGTCACCGTTGTCACGGTTGTCACCGTTGTCATCGTTGTCACTGTTGTCATCGTTGTCACCGTTGTCACCGTTGTCACCGTTGTCACTGTTATCACTGTTGTCACCGTTGTCATCGTTGTCACTGTTGTCATCGTTGTCACTGTTGTCACCGTTGTCACCGTTGTCACTTTTGTCACCGTTGTCACTTTTGTCACCGTTGTCACTGTTGTCACCGTTGTCATCGTTGTCAGTGTTGTCACCTTTGTCACCGTTGTCACTGTTGTCACCGTTGTCATCGTTGTCACTGTTGTCATCGTTGTCACTGTTGTCACCGTTGTCACTGTTGTTACCGTTTTCATCGTTGTCACTGTTGTCATCGTTGTCACTGTTGTCACCGTTGTCACTGTTGTCACCGTTGTCATCGTTGTCACTGTTGTCACCGTTGTCACTGTTGTCACCGTTGTCACTGTTATCACTGTTGTCACCATTGTCACTGTAGTCACCGTTGTCATCGTTGTCACTGTTGTCATCGTTGTCACCGTTGTCACTGTTGTCACCATTGTCATCGTTTTCACTGTCGTCACCGTTGTCATCGTTGTCACTGTTGTCATCGTTGTCACTGTTGTCACCGTTCTCTCTATTGTCACTGTTGTCATCGTTGTCACTGTTGTCCCCGTTGTCACTGTTGTCATCGTTGTCGCCGTTGTCACTGTTGTCACTGTTGTCATCGTTTTCAGTGTTGTAACCGTTGTCGTCGTTGTCACTCTTGTCATCATTGTCACTGTTGTCACCGTTGTCACTGTTGTCACTGTTGTCACCATTGTCATCGTTTTCACTGTCGTCACCGTTGTCGTCGTTGTCACTGTTGTCATCGTTGTCACTGTTGTCACCGTTCTCTCTATTGTCACTGTTGTCATCGTTGTCACTGTTGTCCCCGTTGTCACTGTTGTCATCGTTGTCGCCGTTGTCACTGTTGTCACTGTTGTCATCGTTTTCAGTGTTGTAACCGTTGTCGTCGTTGTCACTCTTCTCATCATTGTCACTGTTGTCACCGTTGTCACTGTTGTCATCATTGTCATCGTTGTCACTGTTGTCATCGTTGTCACTTTTGTCATCGTTATCACTGTTGTCACCGTTGTCACTGCTGTCACCGTTGTCACTGTTGTCACCGTTGTCAGCATTGTCACCGTTGTCAGCGTTGTCACCGTTGTCATTGTTGTCACTGTTGTCATCGTTGTCACTGTTGTCACTGTTGTCACCGTTGTCACTGTTGTCACCGTTGTCACTGTTGTCACCGTTGTCATCGTTGTCACTGTTGTCACCGTTGTCATCGTTGTTACTGTTCTCATCGTTGTCACTGTTGTCATCGTTGTCACTGTTGTCATCATTGTCACTGTTGTCACTGTTGTTACTGTTCTCATCGTTGTCACTGTTGTCACCATTGTCACTGTTGTCACCGTTGCCATCGTTGTCACTGTTGTCATCGTTGTCACTGTTGTCATCATTGTCACTGTTGTCACCGTTGTCACTGTTGTCTTCGTTGTCACTGTTGCCATCGTTGTCACCGTTGTCACTTTTGTCACTTTTGTCATCGTTGTTACTCTTGTCACTGTTGTCACCGTTGTCACTGTTGTCACCGTTGTCGTCGTAGTCACTGTTGTCACCGTTGTCACTGTTGTAATCGTTGTCACTGTTGTGACCATTGTCATCGTTGTCACAGTTGTCACTGTTGTCACCGGTTTCACTTTTGTCACTCTTGTCACCGTTGTCACTGTTGTCACCGTTGTCACTGTTGTCACCGTTGTCATCGTTGTCACTATTGTCATCGTTGCCACTGTTGTCACCGTTGTCACTGTTGTCACCGTTGTTATCGTTGTCACTGTTGTCACCGTTGTCACTGTTCTCGCTGTTGTCACTGTTGTCGCGGTTGTCATTGTTTTCAATGTTCTGAGCGTTGTCACCGTTTTCACTGTTGTCACCGTTGTCACTGTTGTCATTGTTGTCACCGTTCTCACGGTTGTCGATGTTGTCACTGTTGTCACTGTTGTCACTTTTGTCACTCTTTTCACCGTTGTCACTGTTGTCACTGTTTTCACTGTTCTCATCGTTGTCATCGTTGTCATGGTTGTCACTGTTGTCATTGTTGTCACCGTTGTCGTTGTTGTAACTTTTATCACCGTTGTCACTTTTGTCACTGTTGTCCACGTTGTCACTGATTTCACCGTCGTCGCCGTTGTCACCATTGTCACCGTTGTCGCTTTTAACACTGTTGTCACCGTTTTAACCTTTGTCACCGTTGTCACTGTTGTCACCGTTTTCACCGTTGTCATTGTTGTCACCGTTCTCACGATTGTCACTGTTGTCATTTTTGTCACCGTTGTCACCGTTGTCGTTGTTGTTACTGTTGTCACCGTTGTCACTTTTGTCACTGTTGTCACCGTTGTCATTGTTGTCACCGTTGTCACCGTTGTCGTAATTGTTACTGTTGTCACTGTTGTCACCAGATGTCACCATTGTCACTCTTGTCACCATTGTCACCGTTGCCACTGTTGTCACCGTTTTCACTGTTGTCACTGTTGTTACTGTTGTCACCATTGTCACCGTATCACTGTTTTCAACGTTGTCACCGTTGTCGCCATTATCACTGTTGTTACCGTTGTCACCGTTGTTCCGTTGTCACGGTTGTCATTGTTATCACTTTTGTCATTCTTTTTACCGTTGTCACTGTGGTCACCGTTGTCACGGTTGTCACTGTTGTCATTGTTGTCACCGTTGTTACCATTCTTGTTGTTGTTACTGTTGTCACGGTTGTCACTGTTGTCACTGTTGTCACCCTTGTCACTGTTGGCACTGTTGTTCTTGTTGTCGCCGTTGTCACCGTTGTAAGCGTGGTCACTGTTGTCACCGTGGTCACTGTTGTCACCGTTGTCACTGTTGTTACCGTGGTCACTGTTGTCACTGTAGTCACCATTGTCACCGTTGTCACTGTTATCACTGCTGTCACCTTTGTCACCGTTGTCACTTTTGTCACCATTGTCATCGTACTCACTATTGTCATCGTTGTCACTCTTTTGACCGTTGTCACCGTTTTCACTGTTGTCACCGTTGTCATCGTTGTCACTCTTGTCATCGTTGTCACTGTTGTCACCGTTGTCATCGTTGTCACTGTTGTCATCGTTGTCACTGTTGTCACCGTTGTCACTGTTGTCACTGTTGTCATCGTTGTCACTGTTGTCATCGTTGTCATTGTTGTCATCGTTCTCACTGTTGTCACCGTTGTCACCGTTGTCACTGTTGTCACCGTTGTCACTGTTGTCACCATTGTCACTGTTGTTAGTGTTGTCACTGTTGTCACCGTTGTCACTGTTGTCACCATTGTCACTGTTGTTAGTGTTGTCACCGTTGTCATTGTTGTCACCGTTGTCACTTTTCTCACCGTTGTCATCGTTGTCACTGTTGTCACCGTTGTCACCGTTGTCACTGTTGTCACCGTTGTCACTGTTGTCACCATTGTCACTGTTGTTAGTGTTGTCACCGTTGTCATTGTTGTCACCGTTGTCACTTTTCTTACCGTTGTCATCGTTGTCATCGTTGTCACTGTTGTCACCGTTGTCGTCGTTGTCACCGTTGTTACTTTTTTCACTGTTGTCACCATTGTCACTGTTGTCACCGTTGTCACCGTTGTAATCGTTGTCACTGTTGTGACCGTTGTCACTGTTGTCACGGTTGTCACCATTGTCATTGTATTGATCGTTTTCACTATTGTGACCGTTGTCATTGTTGTCATCGTTGTCACTGGTGTCACCGTTGTCGTCGTTGTCACTCTTGTCATCGTTGTTACTGTTGTCACCGTTGTCACCGTTGTCACTTTTTTCACCGTTGTCATCGTTGTCATTGTTCTCACCGTTGTCACTGTTCTCACTGTTGTCATCGTTGTCACTGTTGTCACCTTTGTCATCTTTTTGCACTGTTGTCACCGTTGTCGTCGTTGCCACTGTTGTCATCGTTGTCTTCACCGTGTCACAGTTGTCACTGTTGTCACCGGTGTCACCGTTTTCACTGTTTTCACCATTGTCACCGTTGTCACTGTTTTCATTGTTATCACTTTTTTCACTCTTTTTACCGTTGTCACTGTTGTCACTGTTGTCCCCGTGGTCACTGTTTTCACTGTTGTCACGGTTGTCAGTGTTGTCGTTATTGTCACCGTTGTCACCTTGTTACTGTTGTCACTGTTGTCTCCGTTCTTACCGTTGTCGCCGTTGTCAACGTGTCACCGTTTTCACTGTTGTCACTATTTTCACGATTGCCACTGTTGTTACCGTTGTCACCTTTGTCACCGTTGTCGTTGTTGTTAGGGTTGTCACTGTTGTCATTGTTGGCACCCTTGTCACTGTTGTTACTGTTGTCACTTTTGTCGCCGTTGTCACCGTTGTCACCGTAGTCACTGTTGTCGCTGTTCTTACCGTGGTCACTGTTGTCACCGTTGTCACTGTTGTCACTGTTGTCACTGTTGTCACCATTGTCACCGTTGTCACTGTTGTCACTTTTGTCATCGTTGTTACTGTTGTCACTGTTGTCACCATTGTCACTGTTGTCACTGTTGTCACCGTTGTGACTGTTGTCATCGTTGTCACTGTTGTCACTATTGTCATCGTTGTCACTGTTGTTATGGTTGTCACTGTTGTCACCGTTGTCATCCTTGTCACTGTTGTGATCGTTTTCACTGTTGTCACCTTTGTCATCGTTCTCACTGTTGTCACCGTTGTCGTCGTTGCCACTGTTGTCACCGTTGTCACTGTTGTCACCGTTGTCACCGTTGTCACTGTTGTCACCGTTGTCATCGTTGTCACTGTTGTCATCGTTGTCACTGTTCTCATTGTTGTCATCGTTGTCACTATTCTCATGGTTGTCACTGTCGTCACTGTTGTCACCGTTGTCATCGTTTTCACTGTTGTGATCGTATTCACTGTTGTCACTTTTGTCATCGTTGTCATCGTTGTCACTTTTGTCATCGTTGTTACTTTTGTCACTGTTGTCACCATTGTCACTGTTGTCACTGTTGTCACCGTTGTCACCGTTGTAATCGTTGTCACTGTTGTGACCGTTGTCACTGTTGTCACGGTTGTCACCATTGTCATTGTATTCACGTTTTCACTATTGTGACCGTTGTCATTGTTGTCATCGTTGTCATCGTTGTCACTCTTGTCATCGTTGTTACTGTTGTCACCGTTGTCACCGTTGTCACTTTTTTCACCGTTGTCATCGTTGTCATTGTTCTCACCGTTGTCACTGTTCTCACTGTTGTCATCGTTGTCACTGTTGTCACCTTTGTCATCTTTTTGCACTGTTGTCACCGTTGTCGTCGTTGCCACTGTTGTCACCGGTGTCACCGTTTTCACTCTTTTCACCATTGTCACCGTTGTCACTGTTTTCATTGTTATCACTTTTTTCACTCTTTTTACCGTTGTCACTGTTGTCACTGTTGTCCCCGTGGTCACTGTTTTCACTGTTGTCACGGTTGTCAGTGTTATCGTTATTGTCACCGTTGTCACCTTGTTACTGTTGTCACTGTTGTCTCCGTTCTTACCGTTGTCGCCGTTGTCACCGTGTCACCGTTTTCACTGTTGTCACTGTTGTCACCGGTGTTACCGTTTTCACTGTTTTCACCATTGTCACCGTTGTCACTGTTTTCATTGTTATCACTTTTTTCACTCTTTTTACCGTTGTCACTGTTGTCACTGTTTTCACTGTTGTCACGGTTGTCAGTGTTATCGTTATTGTCACCGTTGTCACCTTGTTACTGTTGTCACTGTTGTCTCCGTTCTTACCGTTGTCGCCGTTGTCACCGTGTCACCGTTTTCACTGTTGTCACTATTTTCACGATTGCCACTGTTGTTACCGCTGTCACCTTTGTCACCGTTGTCGTTGTTGTTACGGTTGTCACTGTTGTCATTGTTGGCACCCTTGTCACTGTTGTTACTGTTGTCACTTTTGTCGCCGTTGTCACCGTAGTCACTGTTGTCGCTGTTCTCACGGTGGTCACTGTTGTCACCGTTGTCACTGTTGTCACTGTTGTCACCATTGTCACCGTTGTCAGTGTTGTCACCGTTGTGACTGTTGTCACCGTTCTCATCGTTGTCTCTGTTGTCATCGTTGTCACTTTTGTCACCGTTGTCGTCGTTGCCACTGTTGTCATCGTTTTCACTGTTGTCACCGTTGTCACTGTTGTCATCGTTGTCACTGTTCTCACTGTTGTCATCGTTGTCACTGTTCTCATGGTTGTCACTGTTGTCACCGTTGTCATCGTTTTCACTGTTGTGATTGTTTTCACTGTTGTCACTTTTGTCATCGTTGTCACTTTTGTCATCGTTGTTACTTTTGTCACTGTTGTCACCATTGTCACTGTTGTCACTGTTGTCACCGTTGTCACCGTTGTAATCGTTGTCACTGTTGTCACTGTTGTCACGGTTGTCACCATTGTCATTGTATTCATCGTTTTCACTATTGTGACCGTTGTCACTGTTGTCACCGTTGTCATCGTTGTTACTGTTGTCACTTTTGTCGCCGTTGTCACCGTTGTCACCGTAGTCACTGTTGTCGCTGTTCTCACCGTGGTCACTGTTGTCACCGTTGTCACTGTTGTCACCATTGTCACCGTTGTCACTGTTGTCACTGTTGTCACCGTTGTGACTGTTGTCACCGTTCTCATCGTTGTCTCTGTTGTCATCGTTGTCACTGTTGTCACCATTTTCACTGTTGTCGCTGTTGTCACCTTTGTCACCGTTGTCACTTTTGTCACCGTTTTCATCGTTGTCACTTTTGTCATCGTTGTCACTGTTGTCACCGTTTTCACTTTTGTCACCGTTGTCATCGTTGTCACTCTTGTCATCGTTGTCACTGTTGTCACCGTTGTCACTGGTGTCACCGTTGTCATCGTTGTCACTGTTGTTATCGTTGTCACTGTTGTCACCGTTGTCACTGTTCTTACTGTTGTCTACGTTGTCACTGTTGTCACCGTTGTCACTGTTGTCACTGTTGTTACCGTTGTCACTGTTGTCATCGTTGTCACTGTTGTCATCGTTGTCACTGTTGTCACCGTTGTCACTGTTCTTACTGTTGTCACCGTTGTCACTGTTTTCACCGTTGTCGCCGTTGTCACTGTTTTCACCGTTGTCATCGTTGTCACTATTGTCATCGTTGTCACTGTTGTCACCGTTGTCACCGTTGTCACTGTTGTCACCGTTGTCTTCGTTGTCACTGTTGTCACTCTTGTCACCGTTGTCACTGTTGTCAACGTTGTCACCGTTGTCACTGTTGTGACCATTTTCACCGTGTCACGGTTGTCACTGTTGTCACCGTTGTCACTGTTTTCACCGTTGTCACCGTTGTTACCGTTGTCGTTGTTGTTACTGTTGTGACCGTTGTCACTGTTGTCATTGTTATCACTTTTTTCACTCTTTTTACCGTTGTCACTTTTGTCACTGTTGTCCCCGTGGTCACTGTTTTCACTGTTGTCACGGTTGTCAGTGTTGTCATTGTTGTCACCGCTGTCACCGTTTTCACCGTGTTACCGTTGTCACTGTTGTCTCCGTTGTTACCGTTGTCACCGTTGTCACTGTTGTCACCGTTGTCACCGTTTTCACTATTGTCACTATTTTCACGATTGCCACTGTTGTTACCGTTGTCACCGTTGTCGTTTTTGTTACTGTTGTCACTGTTGTCATTGTTGTTACCCTTGTCACTGTTGTCACTGTTGTCACTTTTGTCGCCGTTGTCACCGTAGTCACTGTTGTCGCTGTTCTCACCGTGGTCACTGTTGTCACCGTTGTCACTGTTGTCACCGTTGTCACTGTTGTCACCGTTGTCACTGTTGTCACTGTTGTCCCCGTTGTGACTGTTGTCACCGTTGTCAGCGTTGTCTCTGTTGTCATCGTTGTCACTGATGACACCATTTTCACTGTTGTCACGGTTGTCACCATTGTCATTGTATTCATCGTTTTCACTATTGTGACCGTTGTCACTGTTGTCACCGTTGTCATCGTTGTTACTGTTGTCACTTTTGTCGCCGTTGTCACCGTTGTCACCGTAGTCACTGTTGTCGCTGTTCTCACCGTGGTCACTGTTGTCACCGTTGTCACTGTTGTCACCATTGTCACCGTTGTCACTGTTGTCACTGTTGTCACCGTTGTGACTGTTGTCACCGTTCTCATCGTTGTCTCTGTTGTCATCGTTGTCACTGTTGTCACCATTTTCACTGTTGTCGCTGTTGTCACCTTTGTCACCGTTGTCACTTTTGTCACCGTTTTCATCGTTGTCACTTTTGTCATCGTTGTCACTGTTGTCACCGTTTTCACTTTTGTCACCGTTGTCATCGTTGTCACTCTTGTCATCGTTGTCACTGTTGTCACCGTTGTCACTGGTGTCACCGTTGTCATCGTTGTCACTGTTGTTATCGTTGTCACTGTTGTCACCGTTGTCACTGTTCTTACTGTTGTCTACGTTGTCACTGTTGTCACCGTTGTCACTGTTGTCACTGTTGTTACCGTTGTCACTGTTGTCATCGTTGTCACTGTTGTCATCGTTGTCACTGCTGTCACCGTTGTCACTGTTCTTACTGTTGTCACCGTTGTCACTGTTTTCACCGTTGTCGCCGTTGTCACTGTTTTCACCGTTGTCATCGTTGTCACTATTGTCATCGTTGTCACTGTTGTCACCGTTGTCACCGTTGTCACTGTTGTCACCGTTGTCTTCGTTGTCACTGTTGTCACTCTTGTCACCGTTGTCACTGTTGTCAACGTTGTCACCGTTGTCACTGTTGTGACCATTTTCACCGTGTCACGGTTGTCACTGTTGTCACCGTTGTCACTGTTTTCACCGTTGTCACCGTTGTTACCGTTGTCGTTGTTGTTACTGTTGTGACCGTTGTCACTGTTGTCATTGTTATCACTTTTTTCACTCTTTTTACCGTTGTCACTTTTGTCACTGTTGTCCCCGTGGTCACTGTTTTCACTGTTGTCACGGTTGTCAGTGTTGTCATTGTTGTCACCGCTGTCACCGTTGTCACCGTGTTACCGTTGTCACTGTTGTCTCCGTTGTTACCGTTGTCACCGTTGTCACTGTTGTCACCGTTGTCACCGTTTTCACTATTGTCACTATTTTCACGATTGCCACTGTTGTTACCGTTGTCACTGTTGTCATTGTTGTTACCCTTGTCACTGTTGTCACTGTTGTCACTTTTGTCGCCGTTGTCACCGTAGTCACTGTTGTCGCTGTTCTCACCGTGGTCACTGTTGTCACCGTTGTCACTGTTGTCACCGTTGTCACTGTTGTCACCGTTGTCACTGTTGTCACTGTTGTCCCCGTTGTGACTGTTGTCACCGTTGTCAGCGTTGTCTCTGTTGTCATCGTTGTCACTGATGACACCATTTTCACTGTTGTCACGGTTGTCACCTTTGTCACCGTTGTCACTTTTGTCACCGTTGTCATCGTTGTCACTGTTGTCATCGTTGTCACTGTTGTCACTGTTTTCACTTTTGTCACCGTTGTCATCGTTGTCACTCTTGTCACCGTTGTCACCGTTGTCAGTGTTGTCACCGTTGTCATCGTTGTCACTGTTGTCACCGTTGTCACTGTTCTTACTGTTGTCACCGTTGGCACTGTTGTCACCGTTGTCACTGTTGTCACTGTTGTTACCGTTGTCACTGTTGTCACCGTTGTCATCGTTGTCACTGTTGTCATCGTTGTCACTGTTGTCTCCGTTGTCACCGTTGTCACTGTTGTCACCATTGTCATCATTGTCACTATTGTCACCGTTGTCATTGTTGTCACTGTTGTCATCGTTGTCACTGTTGTCATCGTTGTCACTGTTGTCACCGTTGTCACTGTTGTCACTGTTGTCATCTTTGTCACTGTTGCACCGTTGTCACTGTTGTCACCGTTGTCACTGTGGTCACCGTTGTCATCGTTGTCACTGTTGTCACCGTTGTCACCGTTGTCACTGTTGTCACCGTTGTCTTCGTTGTCACTGTTGTCACCGTTGTCTCTGTTGTCACTGTTGTCACCGTTGTCACTGTTGTCACCTTTGTCACCGTTTTCACTGTTGTCACCGTTGTTTACTGTTTTCACTGTTGTCACCGTTGTCATCGTTGTCACTGTTGTCACCGTTGTCATCGTTGTCATTGTTGTCACCGTTTTCATCGTTGTCACTGTTGTCATCGTTGTCACTGTTGTCACCGTTGTCATCGTTGTCACTGTTGTCACCTTTGTCATCGTTGTCACTGTTGTCACCGTTGTCACTGTTGTCACCGTTGTCATCGTTGTCACTGTTGTCACCGTTGTCATCGTTGTCACTGTTGTTATCGTTGTTACTGTTGTCACGGTTGTCATCGTTGTCACTGTTGTCATCGTTGTCACTGTTGTGAGCGTTGTCACTGTTGTGACCGTGGTCACCGTTGTCATCGTTGTCCCTGTTGTCATCGTTGTCACTGTTGTTACCGTTGTCACTGTTCTCATCGTTGTCACTTTTGTCACTGTTGTCACCGTTGTCACTTTTGTCAGCGTTGTCACTTTTGTCACTGTTGTCACCGTTGTCACTGTTGTCACCGTTGTCGTCGTTGTCACTGTTGTCACTTTTGTCACCGTTGTCACTGTTGTGACCGTTGTCATTGTTGTCATCGTTGTCACTGTTGTCATCGTTTTCATCGTTGTCACTGTTGTCATTTCTTTCATCGTTGTCACTGTTGTCACCGTTGTCATCGTTGTCATTGTTGTCATCGTTGTCACCGTTGTCACTGTTGTCACCGTTGTCACCGTTGTCACTGTTGTCACCGTTGTCATCGTTGTCACTCTTGTTATCGTTGTCACTGTTGTCACCGTTGTCACTGTTGTCACCGTTGTCATCGTTGTCACTGTTGTCATCTCGTTTACTGTTGTCACTGTTGTGATCGTTGTGACTGTTGTCATCGTTGTCACCATTGTCACTGTTTTCACCGTTGTCACCGTTGTCACTGTTTTTACCGTTGTCATCGTTGTCACTGTTGTCACCGTTGTCACTGTTGTCACCGTTGTCACCGTTGGCATCGTTGTCATCGTTGTCACTGTTGTCGCTGTTCTCACCGTTGTCACTGTTGTCACCGTTGTCACTGTTGCACCGTTGTCACCGTAGGCACTGTTGTCACCGTTGTCACCTTTGTCACTTTTTCACTGTTGTCACCGTTGTCACTGTTTTCACCGTTGTCACTGTTGTCACCATTGTCGCTGTTGTCACTGTTGTGGCTGTGGTCTCTCTTGTCATTATTGTACTGTTTTTATTGTTAGTCCCGTTGTTTTCACCTTTTCCATGCAAAAGGGGCGAAAGTTGGAGTTACAGTTGTAGACCTTAATTAGGGTGTGTTCCTTTCGGTGAATCCAAAAACGGATTTTAGATCTAAGAAGGGATTTCGTGTTCCTTTCGGCAAATCCAAATCCGGAGTTTTGATCTGGTGAATCCTTTTTGAAAAAGGATTCATTAGATTTGAAATCCGAAGAATCCAAATCCAGATTAACGGATTAGTGATCTACGCTGTTCCATTCACAGTGGATCCGAAATTAGTCAGATGATCCAGCGGTATTTCCAGTTGAAGTATTCCCATAGAGGCTGTAGAGTTTCTTCGTTGCTGTCATTTGTCGCAAAACATCTGAAAACACTAGAAGATTGTCCCTGGTACGTTAAAATATCCATATACTAACCATTTGTCTCTAAAAATTGCTTGAAATAAGTACAAGTAACAAATGAACTGCTATCTAACTACAAACTCGCTTGTAGACGCGACAGGCACTCGATCGTGTTACATAAAAATATCCGAGCTATGGAACTGGATCAAACTGGCCGACATTCTTTAGATAATTTTCAATTTTAATGCGCTTCTTTCTTTGTCTGTTTTATATGTTCCATCGTCGCTATTCGAACTGCCGACCACTATATTCTGCACGGTATAATCGCATAATTTGTCAAACAGTAGAAAACACGTCATTTCTTGAGAGGCTGTCGTGCATATTGCACGCGTTGGCGAAAGGTTACCAAGGTTACAAATCCAATTTCGGATTTCACGTTCCTTTCGACCGCGAAATCTGGCAAATCTAGGATCCAAAATCCGTTTTTGATTCGCCAAAAAAGGAACACACCCTTAGTTTTGTTGTCTCTTTCATTGCTTTTTGTCTGTTTTTCAAAAAAATGAGACCGTTATTTTGACTACCAGTATCATTATCATTATTATGTTATTTATTTTACCTTTATCCAGACCTTCCGTTCACTGAGGTTGTTCTCTTTTGCCCACTGTCCGAAGTGTCACCCTGGCTACCCTGTGGATGAACTTGATACTGGTCGACGTGCTCAGGCAGCTAAAAACACAGAAGCATCAAATGATGACAGTACCAATCCACTTTAGGAGACCGTTAACTTTTGACCCTCAAACCCTCGGCTTGCAAGGGCAATTTTATAAATTCAATATAAAATTTTCAAATATTTTTTTTATAATGCGGGGTAAGAAACAATTTGAATTTTAGGTTTTACAGCTGCAGGAATTTGACCTTGTACAGGACAGGAGAGAAATTTGCACAAGCTGCACAAGTTAACGCTTAATTTCTGTACAATGTATATTTATATAGTATTCACCAAATCAGTGGATAGCAATTTTCGCGCGTTCTGATTGGTTCCCGTAACTCGGAATATCTTTGGATATTCACTGTTTTGGGACGGGATTTAAAATGGCTTCTTGTTTCAAGACAGTTTCGAAAGATGAAATTTTAGAGTTAGATGAAGCAGCTGCGCCAACAAATACCAAGAGTGGGACAAAATTTGGCTTGGGAACTACTATTTATAAATGTTGTATATTTCCATTTGTTATTGCCATTTACAGGGTATAATTATTATTTTTAAAATAGTATATTCAATAACAAAATAGGAGTTACAGGTGTAGAAAGTTTTTTTGACAATACAGGCAGCAGACTCTATGTAAGACACCGGCGCTGATTTCAAATTTTAGACAATGTATAATGAGGTCCTCTTAGTCTGAATTTCAAAACCAGTCATTTCACATATTGATGGTATTTGACCATTGAATTTTGTTTCTTTCTATTCACTGTGTCCTTGTTTCAGCTCATTTGCAGCCATTTCATCCGTCTTATGCAGGGTTCGTACAGGTCGTGGAAAACCTGGAAAGTCATGGAATTTGAGAATTTCATTTTCCAGGCCTGGAAAGTCATGGAATTTAATTGTCGGTCCTTGAAAGTCATGGAAAATTAAAGTTTTGTTTGATTGTTTAGTTACTGCAGATGACAAAGCAAGGACAATGTAAGATAGAGAGGAGTAATTAAACAGCGCAAATGGCACGCATTTTGGTGGACACCAGAGTTTGTGTCTGTTGAACTGCTTAAGGTCAAAAAATACCCCCAAACTAGGAAAATTGTGAAAGTTTATGAAAGTGACAACTAAAAAATGGAAAACTTGAAAAGGTCATGGAAAGTCATGGAACTTTAAGAGCTCAAAAGGTTACGAACCCTGCTTATGTCATTGTTTGAAAGCCACATGGCTTGTCGGAAATGTCAGCTTAATAGGGCCTCAAGAATATTTACATGTGAAATTACACAAAATTAATTCTGTAACGAATTAGGATTTATACGTGATAACACTGACGATTTTGTCTGGCAATGTTAGTCTGTAGAGCCTTAACTGTTCACTTTTTTTTTGAAAAAAAATGCCAACAACAAGGTAAGGTAGGTTAGACATTTTAGACCACATAAAATATTTCTGCATTCCTATACATTGTCTCAAAGTTAATAAATCCCAACATCTCAATATAGAGCTTGGGATGCCTGTGCATGTATAATAATGAAACACAGGATCTATTTATCATAATTTTGGACTAAGGGGTCCAAAGCAAAATATTTCATGAAATTTGTGAAAATGACAAAATAAAAGGCTTTGAGCCGAGTCTTTGACGTCTTCTAGCAGTTTAGCTGGATCACAGTTCATTTCGTTGAGTTCTTTTTAATTAAGCGTAGCTTTGCTGCATTGCGGCTAAATGAATTTTTAATAAAGAGTTTGTTTTCTTTAGTTTTCTCTAAAATGCCTGGTTGCTGAATTACAAGCTGCATGTACATGTTTTGTGATGTTTACCTTCTCTATGTTGTTGTTCTGTCTCTCTATGATGAAGAAACCAAAATTCAGACCCAACCAGAAAAGTCTTTGTGCTAAATCCTGCAACTAGTGAAGAAATGATCATTCACTTTAGAATTGTTAACAGAGACCTAACACCTCTGATCGGTCTAAATGACTCTGAAATGCTCCAACTCATTGAGCTCTTACGAGAGAACATAGCTTTAGTAGCCCCAGGTAACCCAAGTGTCGCTCTAACTGCCAGTCAAGTGACAACACCACTCACCTTGGAGACCATTCTGACTAAGTACTCTCAAGTCTTTGTTGATAGTATAGGAAAGTTTGAGGGCGAACTATATCTTCACACAAGTAATGATATTCATTCCTCAAAAAACAGCTCCTAGAGAGATCCCCCGCTCTGTGAAGAACAACTTTATTGCTGAAGTAAAAGACCTCCAGCAGCAAGGTATAATTGAGAAAGTGATTGAGCCTACCGAATGGGTAAGTGCTCCTACAAATGTAAACAAACCTTCTGCTAAGAATGGAAAAAAAGTCAAGCCACTAAAGGACACTGCAAAGGCTGCAGAACCGACGGACTGCAGACGGACCTTATACTGTTAAACGCACGCGTTCGGGACGCTTAGTGAAAATGCCGCAAAGATACTCTAGTTAAACGTAAAATTGTAAATTTTACTGGGGGGAAGGTGTTAGAGGGTGGTAACCTTATTGCAAGACATCATGGGAAGAGGCTCGAGAGAGGGACGTTCTGTCATGGCGTTGAGTTGAGTCACTGTCTTGTTACTGTTAGAGCTCTCACCGAAACAAAAAGTACCGGTATCTCAGTCCAGAGCTTTTCCGGGCCATTTTTGGAAATGTTTTGATGCGCGAACCACAACTGGCAATTACCCACATGAGTCACATGACTCGAGGCTTGTTTTCATGAACTTTCTGTATGACAGGGGTAGTCTTGCCTGCGTCGCAGACACTTTAAACCTTTTGTATGGAGCGTCTGCAAATTTGTGCACCATATCGTGTTCGAATCCCACACAGTTGCAAGGACATATGTCGGAGTTTTTGATTGGCTAGTTTCTAAGGGTTAAGCTGCTAAGTTGCATCAGGAAGGCCAAACTGTTTTACTTAGTGCTGGACGAGGACTCAAACTAAATCTAAAAGCTCATTTTTGTTTCCCTCCGAGACACCTGGAGAATAAAATTCTCATGGAGCCACAGCCTAAAAAGGTTTAGCTGCTCTGTTGCATCAGAAAGACCAAACTGTTTTTCTTAACCCTGAACAGAGATTCAAACAATATCATTCTGAAAGCGCATTTTTAGTTCCGGCTCTGAGACATCTCGAGAATAGAATTCTCACAGAGCCACAGCCTAAAAAGGCTAAGCTGCTCTGTTGCATCAGCAAGGCCAAACTGTTTTACTTAGTGCTAAACGAGGGCTCAAACATTATCTAAAAACGACGTTTTCTAGTTCCCTCTGAGACACCTGGAGAATAAAATTCTCAAAGAGCCATAGCCTAAAAAGGCTAACCTGCTCTGTTTCATCAGGAAGGCCAAACTGTTTTACTTTAGTAATGCTGGACATGCACTATCATCAATGTTTCCTTTAGGAATAGTTTTGTTCGTAAAATTAAAGGCTGGTCATCACCATCTTCTCTAAACAACACTAAAATGCATTCAAGGAAGTTCTTAACAATTATAGCGTCTATTATTGATTCCAAGTTATGAATAACTTCAAGTACCTTTAAATCATGGCATAAAAAAAAACTCGATTTCAGTTAAAGCACAAATTCTCATCTTTAAACTTCCAAAAAAAAAACAAACAAATACAGGCATTTCAAATTGAGATTCGAGTCACTGCAAAAACACAAACAAGATAGTCTAAACATCAAAGCTAAAACTCGACATAGCGAAGGGCCAAGGGACTGGCAAAATCTTTTCAATATACTTTACTATTACAGTACTAGGGTAAGGAAAATAGTTCGTTATACCGGGGTCTTTGCAGTATATAAGTTAGTTATATTGAGGTTCTACTGTACATGAAACCAAAATGCCCCCCCCCGTACTGGTAGCGCTCGATCCTGACGATCATACGAAAAAATAGGGGACTGTGAATAGTCTCGTGGTCCTTGTGCAAGACCAAAGCCCTGCCAGTGCTGTGAATATATAGACATCAAACGACTTCCTGAAGTTCTGAGAAATTTTGACCAATATTTAAAAGAGGATGACCCCGAAAAGGTCAAAAAGGGTCACTGAAGGTGAAAAGAAGGAATTATGTTTCGCTTTCAAAATCTGATCAGTTAATGAATCAGTGTTCCCGCATGATCGCTTTGGCTTTAACAGAAAAATCAAAGAAACAAGAGAAGCAAACTTTTCCGATCAAGGTGGTTTTTTCTTTCGTAGCTCCCATGATACCCTGTGTGCAGACCCCCCTCCCCTCAGGATTTTCTTTGAGGGGAGGGGGGTCTGTACACAGGATATTCCCATGATCAACGCCCAGTTTAGACACGAATACAGTACTGTTTTTCTTTCCCTGGCGTGATTTGCTTAATTGGGCGTAGCATAGAATGGTGTTTTTTCGACGTGTTTTCCTTGAACATTTGATCAGTGTTGGATCGCAAGTCACATGCACATCATGCTGAAGAAGGTCCTTTTTCATTTTCATCGAGGGCACAATCTGTTTCAGTTTTCCTTCTCAATTTGAAAGTGTCGGACCTCAGATTGTGGTCGAATTTAGCTATCACAAGGATAAGTAATATCGTGCAGAACTGCAGTGAAGTTTGCTTGTCACAGAACAAATGAATGCGAGTTGAAGTCGTCATTCGATCTTTTATAAAGTGGGGACCAATTCAGCTGAATCGGCTTTCCCAAGCAGCCAGATTAGAATGCCTAACTTTACAAACATGTTTACATGCACATAAGGACTCTGATTTTTCAGCTTCGTTACTTGACAAAAACGAAAATATTATCAGTGCTGGGTACTGGGTACTTTGCAGGAAATCTCACGTCTGCCAGGCTCCTCGGAGTTTTCAACCAGTGGGTACATTATTCTCTACCAGAACGGAATCCTAAGCTCCGAAGAACAACCACCTGCAACGAATGTTAGAGTCATCGAGTTTGCTTTGTCAAGTTTAATGAAAATCAATATCCAAGACAAAACTGGCAGCGAGTTCACCCGTGGCCAAGACACTTACGACAAGATGAATTCTGGTAAAGCCAAGACATTCTACTGGTTTAATTACGGGAAGCACTTCATGGCAAGAGCAGAGATAACTAGATGTCGATCTGGGTAGCTGACCTTTCGATTTGTTGTTCAGGACTTCGATCCTTTGGCGGTGTGTGATTAAACAAAAACAGAATTTGATGGCTTGATCGGATGGAACGGAATAGATCAAAGCCTGGAACTCCGATTACAATGAAATTGACCACATTCATTTACTAAGAGCATACTGAAAACTTATTAGTATATAATGATTGTATAGAAAGTTAGGGAACAGAGAACGGGGTATCGGGAATTGGGAGCGGGGAACGGGGAACGGGGAATGGAGAACGGGGTGCGGGGAAAGAGCACGGGGAACGGGAAAATGAAAAATGGTAACAAAACCAAACTTGAACTGTAGCCCTATTTGTAACTTCATTTCCAGTTCTCTGTTTTGTTTCCATTAGTATTCCGGTTTCCCGGTCCCCGTGCCCGGTTTATGTTTTTGTAGTAAATCCGTGAAATCCGTGTTGAACGGCTTGCTAATTCAACGTTAAGCCTGCAAGGTTGATAGATCGATATGATTTGGATTTCGTTAACATGATTTGTCGAATCTGGAAGTAACACTATTGCAAAAAGACATAAAAGGAATACAGCAATGAATTTTTCAAAACAAAGAGTACTTCGTCTATTACGTTGTGTATCATGCGAAAGAGAACCATGAACCGTTCAAAAGCAATTTTTTTGCACCTACATTGCGTACCCTGTTACCATATCACAGTTTTCTTCAGCAACACTACATTATTTGTTTCATATTAAGCTGTTTTAAAAAGGGGAAAACGAAAAACCTAAACACAGAGTAAAGAAGGTTTCCAGTTGTAGTAATTTGACGAAACAATGATTTATTTTACATGGATTGATTATATGCGGTAATTTTAAGAGGACCATGAAGCCTTCAATAGCCAGTTGCTTTTGAACTTGTTGAGTTTTTTGTCACTGGATCCAGCGTTATTTGACTTCACTAAGCTGTTTCGAAAATACAAAACAGGGGAAATCTGAAAAAAATAACATTGAAGTCAAATAGCTAAGAGGTATCTATTAAACTACCCCATGGAACGTAAACAGGAAGAGTTAACTCAAGGGTAACTAATTTAAAATTACACTTCCCGTAAATGTTTAAGACGGTATGCTTTGATATACTAAAGCTGTAATTTGTAAACATTATGTTAACGAACAGGCCCCGGATGTTCAAACGTTGGATAGCGCTATCCACCGGATAAATCACTATCCAGCGGATAAGTATTAGTTTTAGCAGTCAGAGAAAAATTCATTCTGTATCACAATGTTGTTGTTTGACTGGATCTTTCTACCATTGCCAATTCAAGTCGTTTGCCGTACAAACGACTTATTGACGAGATCAAGCAAAACTAACTATGAGAGAAAGACTGGAGAACTGACAATTTGACTAACAATAGACGATTGTTTAAATGTGACAATGTGATCGAAACGCACCAACTGCTTCATAGCCAAAAAAATCACGCCTTAACTGACAGACGACCAATAACATCGCAACGTAATTGACCGATCAGACCAATGACCAGAGTATTTAATAATACCATCAACTGACGTGATACAACTCACTTTGACTCTGAAGATGACTACCGCACAGGTTGTCGAAACGTCAGTCACTGTCAACAATAACAGTCCTATTCAGGA